AGCTACAGACTACAGACGGACCAAGAAGTCTGCCAGCTGTCCTACTAGGATCCGCTCATCAGGGGAAGATGCAGTTCAGAACTACAGACCATTCGCCTTGTTCCAGCTGCCATTTAAAAATAAATAACTCTCACTGCAAGATGCCCCCTGCAGGCTGCAAGAGGAACTGAGAGTGATGTCTGTTTGCAGCAAAGGTACATTATGAGGTCAGCAGAAAAGGCACCTGTGATTTCATTGGTGTGAGGAAGAGGCAACAAGATAAGAGTGTATAAAATTATGCATGGCACGGAGAAAGTGATTTGGTCCCTCTGGTAACACTAGACCTCATGGACGTTCATTGAAGGTTGGTAGAATCGGACAGGCAGCTCCTTCCAGCCCCGGAAAGGGGAGCTCTTTCTGGCTAAGCCAGAACTGGGACTTCTTCTGCCAAAGAGACTTTACCCGGATATTTGTTGGATGTCAAACTCAGCCAAGAGCATAAGGTCAAACAGATTCCTCACTGGCCTTGCAGACAACTTCGTTGTCCAGAAAGTGGGAGAAGCAACAAGAGGAACAGCCATTTTAGATCTGGTCCTAACCAATGTTGATGACCTGGTTAGTGGGGTAGAAGTGGAAGGATCATTAGGCGCGAGTGATCATGCTCTTCTGAAGTTTACTATACAGCGGAAAGGAGCAGCCAAGCATACTAGGACTCAATTTCTTGACTTTAAGAAAGCCGACTTCATAAAACTTAGGGAAGTGCTGGGTGAGATCCCATGGACAGTAATACTAAAAGGAAAGGGAGTTCATGATGGCTGGGAGTTTGTTAAGAGGGAGATAGTAAAAGCACAACGTCAGGCAATACCAATGAGACGGAAACATGAAAGGTGCCTAAAGAAGCCAGGGTGGCTATCTAAAGAACTTTTAACTGAGTTAAGATTAAAAAGGATGTGTACAAAAATGGAAAAGGGGGAAACCACCAAAGAGGAATTCAAACAAATAGCCAGCACGTGTAGACACAAAGTCAGAAAAGCTAAAGCACAGAATGAACTCAGGCTTGCTAGAGAGGTTAAAAGCAACAAAAAAGGCTTTTATGGGTATGTTCGTAGCGAAAGGAAGAACAAAGAAACAGTGGGGTTTGTTGAAATGCTCAGAAGAATCTGATTGGTTCTTATGAACGCTCTGTAAAAAGCTCTTTTGTGAATAAAACACCTGGGCCAGGGGCTGGACAGGCACAGACAGATTTCTGAAAAATAAGTCATGTCAGACTAACCTGATCTCGTTTTTTGACAGAATTACAAGCCTGGTAGATGAAGGGAACGCAGTGGATGTAGCCTACCTTGATTTCAGCAAGGCATTTGACAAGGTGCCCCATGATATTCTTGTAAAGAAGCTGGTAAAATGCGGTCTTGACTATGCTACCACTCAGTGGATTTGTAACTGGCTGACTGACCGAGCCCAAAGGGTGCTCATCAATGGTTCCTCTTCATCCTGGAGAAGAGTGACTAGTGGGGTGCCACAGGGTTCTGTCTTGGGCCCGGTCTTATTCAACATCTTTATCAACGACTTGGATGATGGACTCAAGGGCATCCTGATCAAATTTGCAGATGACACCAAACTGGGAGGGGTGGCTAACACCCCAGAGGACAGGATCACACTTCAAAACGACCTTGACAGATTAGAGAACTGGGCAAAAACAAACAAGATGAATTTTAACAGGGAGAAATGTAAAGTATTGCACTTGGGCAAAAAAATGAGAGGCACAAATACAAGATGGGTGACACCTGGCTTGAGAGCAGTACATGTGAAAAGGATCTAGGAGTCTTGGTTGACCACAAACTTGACATGAGCCAACAGTGTGACGTGGCAGCTAAAAAGCCAATGTAATTCTGGGCTGCATCAATAGGAGTATAGCATCTTGATCAAGAGAAGTAATAGTGCCACTGTATTCTGCTCTGGTCAGACCTCACCTGGAGTACTGTGTCCAGTTCTGGGCACCACAGTTCAAGAAGGACACTGACAAACTGGAACGTGTCCAGAGGAGGGCAACCAAAATGGTCAAAGGCCTGGAAACGATGCCTTATGAGGAACGGCTAAGGGAGCTGGGCATGTTTAGCCTGGAGAAGAGGAGGTTAAGGGGTGATATGATAGCCATGTTCAAATATATAAAAGGATGTCACATAGAGGAGGGAGAAAGGTTGTTTTCTGCTGCTCCAGAGAAGCGGACACGGAGCAATGGATCCAAACTACAAGAAAGAAGATTCCACCTAAACATTAGGAAGAACTTCCTGACAGTAAGAGCTGTTTGACAGTGGAATTTGCTGCCAAGGAGTGTGGTGGAGTCTCCTTCTTTGGAGGTCTTTAAGCAGAGGCTTGACAACCGTATGTCAGGAGTGCTCTGATGGTGTTTCCTGCTTGGCAGGGGGTTGGACTCGATGGCCCTTGTGGTCTCTTCCAACTCTATGATTCATCTTATTGTACAAGGCGGAAGGTGTGATGCGTTAAGGGCATCCTGGCCAAGATCACGGTCTTCCTCTCCCCTCTGCCATGCAATGGGATCCCCTTTAAGGAAAAGCTGCAGCGCTTGGGACTTTTCGTTTTGGAGAAAAGGCAAGTAAGAGGAGACAGGATAGAAGGGGAGGGAAGGCAGGGCATGGAGGAAGCGGGTCGGGAAAGGCGTCCGTCTCTCGTTCATAACACTGGAGCCCACAGGCATTCAATGAAGATCAATGCTGGAAGATTCAGGACAGATATAGGAAAGTCCTTCTACTCTGGAACTCCCTCCCACAGGAGGCCACCAACTTGGATGGGCTTACAAGAGGGTTGGACAAATTCATGGAAGAGAGTGGCTACTAGCCAGGATGGCTCTGCTCTGCCCCTGATTGGAGGCAGCGATGCTTCTGAATACCCATTGCAGGAAACCACAGGAGGGGAGAGTTGCTCTTGTGCTCAGGTCCTTCCAACAATGATTGGGTTGGTCCAATTCAAGCGGGCAGACCCCCCCCCCACTTGCTTTCCTTTTAGGTGCAGTTGTGACTGACTCTGGGGATGTGGCGCTTTACTGGTCGAGGGAGCCAGCATACAGCTTCCGGGTCATGTGGCCAACATGACTAAGCCGCTTCTGGCAAACCAGAGCAGCGCACGGAAACGCCGTTTACCTTCCCGCCGGAGCGGTACCTATTTATCTACTTGCACTTTGATGTGCTTTCGAACTGCTAGGTGGGCAGGAGCAGGGACCGAGCAACGGGAGCTCACCCCATCGTGGGGATTCGAACCGCCGACCTTCTGATTGGCAAGTCCTAGGCCCTGTGGTTTAACCCACAGCACCACCCGCATCCTTTTACCTTCTGCCAAATGACCATGGACCCTGAAGTCGCCTCCCCGCCACCCGCCTGGCACTCAGGATCTTTCGCGTTTCGTTGTGTAATATGTGTCTGTCTTGCCTGGGTCATCAAAGACAGTGGGCAGTTTCTTTGATGTAGCTTTTCTGATAGGTTAATCTTAGGGCCAGGAAACAGATCTCACCTGAAGGTGATAATGATTGCTGTCTTCCTGGCCATCCTTCTTATCATGTATATTGCTTGTTTATCACCTCCTGGGGTTGCCAAATGCACTCCTTTGTAGTTCTGTTTTATTTACCCCATGCTTAATTAGTATTGGTAGTTTAACTTTGTCCCCAGTGGGGTTTGTTGAAATGCTCAGAAGAAATCTGATTGGTTCTTAGAACACTCTGTAAAAAGTTCTTCTGTGAATAAAAAGACTTGGGCCAGGGGATAGAGACTGAGATTATTATACGCACCCTTCCCAGCGTCTTGCTGGTTCAAGCTTCTGTGTGTATTCTTATTAATCAGAGTTCAATCCTTCCTTTACTTTGAGAACGCCTCACCACCACACAAGCAGAAAGGCGCAGCAGAAGTGTGTGGGCGGTAACCTCTAATAAGGGGGGAAGAGAACACACTTTCACCTGTATCTTTTATTAAGTTACACTGATGGCAGCTTGACTGATGCAGGCAGACAAGGGCGGATATTCTACTAAACAAGCCCCAGGAATTTGGGAGATGAGGACAAAACAATCCAGCTGAGGTTAAGCACATAACTTGGTTTTCAGGAAGGGGGGGGGGGGGGGAGAGAAGGCTTAACCTTTGCCTCCCGCAGCCCAGTCTGGACTGCCTCGAACCCTTGAGTAGCTGCTACTTAAGATGAATAAAACCTGAGCACGCAAGGTGTGCTTAATCTCATGTCCCGTCTGACCACATGCAAACAGATTAGCATGAAAAAACATGGTAAGCCCCTCCCCCCCATTTCCTTCCAAGTCGTTATCAAAATGGCAGACATCTATCTGTGTTTGTGGGGATGACAACAGGCTGCTCTTATTTCATTGTCAAATTCAAAATAGTGGATGGATGACACCCACACACTGTGCTAGGCTTCTGGTTTTTGGAAACGTCCATTAGAGAGCAGGGGACGGAACGTGGCTCTGTCAACTTGGAGGATCTTCAACTCGAAAACAGAGCAATGCACCCCCCTTCTTGGGGTGGGTGGGGTCGTGAAGGTCCTATTTCCCCCCATGTTGGCTGTTCACTAGCCAGCCCCCTTGCATTCGGGGTCCTGCTCCTCTGGAAGGAACCAGCTGCACCGAGGGGTCTGGTAAGGGAGGGCTGCAGAGAAGACCAGAGAGGGAACTTCCCTGGCCTGGCCTGGGGCTTCAGCACTCTCCGGGGGCTGGCTCTGCAGAGGGCCCTTCAAGCTTTGCTTTCTCTGTACCAAACCACCACAGGAATCCAGGAGGAGGCTGGCCTGTCTGCCTCACAGTCTGGAGGTGGCAGAAAGGAGACCCGTTAGCGGATGCCCAAGTCACATCCGGAGGAGCAAATGTTGCAGCTGGTGGAGAAAGATTCCACAGAGGAAAAAACATCTGCAGGTGGTTTGGTGTGCGGGTGGACGAGATACCACTGTGTAGGGAGACCAACTACCAGGTAAGTATTGTGTGAAGCTTGGGGGTTGTCACTCTCCTGTGGCGCTCAGTCGCTCTTGCTGTCCTCGCTGTCAGAATAGGCTCCCAGAAGGCTGAGGGAGGAAGCTCCTGCTTTGGGGACAGAAGCCAGAGGGGCCCCCCCAGAGGGGCTGCTTGTACTCCCAGCACCTGGAAACAGCCAAAACAGAAGCAAAGGTTTGACGTTTTGCACAAGCTGGGGAGGCAGAGACCTCAAAGTATATTCTAGATCAGGGATGGGGATCCTCCAGATGCTGCTGGACTCAACTTCCAGCAGCTCCAACAGCCAGCATGCTCAACACTCAGGGATGGTGGGAGCTGCAGTTCAGCAACGGGAAACAAGAACTGCCAGCATCATGAGGCCATTATCAAATCTATGGTGCAACCACCTTGGGAATTCTGTGTACAGTTCCGGTATCCTCAGAAAGGAGGTTGTAGAATTTGAAAAGCTTCTGAAAAGGGCCACCAAATATATAAAGGAGATGGAGTAACTCTCCTGGAAGGAAAGGCTGCAGCGTCTGGGACTTGGTAGGTTCACAAAAAAGGTAGAGACACATTTCCCCCCTCTCTTGTAATATTGGAACATTCAATGGACATCCAATGAAGCTGAAGACTGGAAGATTCAGGACAGCTGAAGGAAGAGCTTCTTGGCGCAGCGCAGAGCTAGATGGCACAAGACGGCAGTGAGGGATACCAAGTTGGGTGGCTCTAAAAGAGGCTTAGATTAATTTATGACTCTCAACGGCTACCAGCCACACAGACTCTCCTCCACTTCCAGAGTCAGAGGCAGCAATACTTCTGAATACCAGTTGCTGGAAACCACAGCTGGGGACACGACACTGGAGCTCAAATCCTACTTGCGGATTTCCCTTTGGGAATCTGGGGGGCCACTGGGAGAACATGAGGCTGGACTAATGGGCCACTGGCCTGATCTAGCGGGCTCTGGCATTCTTACCTGGAAAGCCATGTAAGACTACTGCCACGTGCTCTACGTGGGGCTATCTTGGAAGGCAACTCGGAAACTCCAACTAATCCAGAAAGCAGCTGCTAGACTGGTGACTGGGAGCGGCTGATGGGATCATATAACACCAGTCCTAAAGGATCTACATTGATCCCAGTACATTTCCAAGCACAATTCAAAGTGTTGGTGCTGACCTTTAAAGCCCTAAATGGCTTTGGCCCTGTATACCTGAAGGAGCATCTCCACCCTCATTGTTCAGCCTCCGAGGGTCTTCCCTTCCCTGTGATAAAAGAAGTTACAGGGAACCAGGCAGAGGGCTATCTTGGTAGTGGTGCCCGCCCTGTGGAACACCCTACCATCAGATGTCAAGGAGACAAACAACTAAATGACTTTTAGAAGACAACTGAAGGCAACCCTGCATTGGGAAGTTTTTAATGTTTGATGTTTTGTTATGCTTTTATATTTGTTGGAAGCTGCCTTGAGTGGCTGGGGCACAAATAATAAAGTTACTATTATTATCATCATCCCATTAGTCCTTGGGGCAATGTAAAACCTGCGAAGCAGCTAACAGAAGCTTATCTTAGCTTCTGTGGCTTCCACCCACGACTGTGATGAAATGCAGGGTCTTAGGGTTTTGACACCAGTCAATTACTCCCTAGAACCTAAGTTTACCATCAAATCTGATGGAAGAGAACCCGAAAACCTTGCCCACTATTTTGTAACACTTTGGTCAGCCTAATAAAGGAACTAGTTGACATGGCTGTGTGTGTGTGTGTGTGTGTGTGTGTGTGTGTGAGAGTGTGAGAGAGAGAGAGAGAGAGAGAGAGAGAGAGAGAGAAATACTTATAACTCTCCACCCCCTCCGTTACCTGCGCCTGGCGGTGCATCTCCACTGTCTGCTCCATTGGCCACACTACTAACTGGCTTCCTCTTGGCAGTCACCAGCCCAGACAGTTTGACCTTGCTTGAGAGTTTCCCGATGCTCCTCTCCCAGCTTTCCACCTTCAGCTTCTTTGCTTGAGGCTCCGAGTCCTGAGATGAGGCCGGGGGGCGGGATGGGACAGGGGAGAACAATAAGATTTTGTGTTGCACGCTGGGGGTTAAAAGGCTAACAACTCCCGCAACCTATCTGCTCAACTCTGCAATTGTGGTTGGCACAAATATAAACTTTAAAATTATGCATGTATAGTAAGTCATCTTTGTTTTCTTCCACCCAGAGAATAACTGAATGCACCAGGTGCAGGGAACCCTCTACTCTGCCAGGTATCAGTGAACTACAACTCCCAACACCCCCAGCAAGCACAGCCAATGATGGGAGGTCATTTATTTCTTTCGACAATTCAATACTGTTTTGTCACAGCTGGCTCTAAGCACTGGACCAGATGCCCAATGCAGTAAGATCAAAAATGAAAACTATAAAATCTGAATGTGACTGAAGTTCCTGATGGAATGAAAAGCCTTCAGTAAGTGCTGGAAGTTCAAAAACCTCAACTGGAAGTTCCCGTAAGATTAGGCCCCAAATACAGATCCCACTGCTGGAAACGGCAAGAGAGGAGAGTGCTCTTGAGCTCGGATCCTCCTTGTGTCTTTTTATGTGCTTATGGGTGCCTGGGCTCCTGGCGGATCCAAGCCAAGCATCTGTGTCAAGGGAGACCACTAACACAGTCTGATGAGGCGCACCTGGAGGCACTGGGAAACCCCAGGACATTTCCGAGCACAATTCAAAGTGTTGGTGCTGACCTTGAAAGCCCTAAACGGCCTTGGTCCTGTATTCCTGAAGGAGCGTCTCCACCCCCATCGTTTTGCCCGGACACTGAGGTCCAGCGCCGAGGGCCTTCTGGCAGTTCCCTCATTGCAAGAAGTGAGGTTACAGGGAACCAGGCAGTGGGCCTTCTCGGCAGTGGTGCCTGCCCTGTGGAATACCCTCCCATCAGATGTCAAGGCAATAAGCAACTATTTTACTTTTAAAATACAACCGAAGGCAGCCCTGTTTAGGGAAGTTTTTAATGTTTGATTCTGTATTGTTTTTAATATTCGGTTGGAAGCCGCCCAGAGTGGCTGGGGAAACCCAGCCAGATGGGCAGGGTATAAATAATAAATTATTATTATTATTATTAGATAGACTCAAATTGTTAAAGGCCGTGTAAATTAATACAGGAACCTTCCACCTGGCCTGGTAGCAAAGGGGCAGCCAGTGCAAGCTTTGGAGCACCTGAGTCTGTCCCCATCAACACTCCAGCTGCAGTGTTTTCCACCAGATGGAGCCTCCAGACCACACATAAAGATGTAGCTATTGTTCAGCAATCCACACTATTCTGGCTGCATCTGCCTCAGCAGTCATGATCTAGCTGTTTTCCTCCTGCTGCTGTAAACACACCCTAAAATCAAGGTGATGCCCGAGATTGGGAGGGGAATTCCCTTTTGCATGGTGTGGGCAGGCAGAGGTGCCAAGTTTGAACTCATCACTAGCAATGCAATAGAGACAAGACCAGTGACCTGGGGCTCAGGGGGTGGGGTGGGGGTACGTCTCTCAAGGCAGCTGGCATCTCAGGGATGCACCTGTCTGTGGTGGGACAGTCCTCTCCGCACAATACCTCTTGCAGGATGTCTGTAGGCTTCGCTTTTGCAAACGGCTTAGCAGGACGTGAAGCAGAGTCCTCGTCCTCTGAATCAGAGTCTTGTAGCAGCCTCCTGCTCTGAGCTTGTTCCAGCATAGTTCTGGCAGGGTGACATACAAGCGGGCAGAACCCAGGAATGTAGCAGGTTAGCTCATTGTGCCCAAAAATTTCAGATTGCTGCTAGCTGCTCTAAGGGAAAGATTTTGTCAAAGGAAACCAGGGTTCAGGGAGTAGGGGGTGGAAAGCAATTCTAAATTTTACTATGTAATAAACATGTAAAAATGTAGGCATGCTGCTAGCTAGTTGGCCACAGGCAGGTGGCACGATGAGCTACAGCAGGGCTTCCCAAACTTGGGTCTCAACTCCCATCATCCCTAGTCAGCAGGACCAGTGGTCTGGGATTATGGGAATCGCAGTCCAAAAGCAGCTGGAGATCCAAGTCTGGGAAACCCTGACCGACAGTGTGACAGGAAGCAGTGGATAGGAAGCCCAGGCAAACTGCAGATGGGCTGCAGCTGTCCACAAACTCCATTGGCTTCTCAGTCTCCCAGCGCCAGGGCCCCTGCCTCCAGGATCCAGTTTGTCTAGCTGACCAGCAACACAACTGGCTGGTGATACTATCAGCCACCTCCCTCCTCCCGGGCCAGCTCAGGGACCTGCTCCTGCTGCTGCTGCCACCCAGCAAATTAGGAAGAAGAGCTGTTCCATCAGGAGGAGGAGCACAGGAAGGAACAAGACTGCCAGAAGAGGTGGCACGATGGCCAGGGCGGCATGAGAAGGTTTAAGCTTTTTGCAGTTCTCCCTGCCCTTCTCATCTGCAGCTCCAACGTGGGGGCAGGCCTGGCAGGGGAAATGATAAGCGGGGGTGGGAGGGGCAGTTTTACTAAGTTTTTATATATGCTGTAAGCTGTCCAGAGTGACTGGGGAAACCCAGCCAATGGGCAGGGTATAAACAAACATCATCATGCTTCTGGCAAGCTCTAAGGGGAAGGAGAGGGTTAGGCAAGCAAAGCAAGCGGGGTAGCAGCCCCTAGTTAGCAATAAAACATTCACACACACGCTTTGGTGTATGTGAGGCAGCCCTGGCTCTCACTTTGTCTCCTGCTCGTCCTCCTCCAGCTCCCGCTCTTTCTGCTGCTCCTCATAGTCTTTGTACTGCTGCAGCATGGACTCAAAGTCCACGTGGGCCTGGCGCTGGTTCAGCTCCTTCAGCTCCTGGAGGTTCTCCAGAACTTCCATCTCCAACTTGGAGTCCTTGGTCCTGTTCTCCAAAACCTTCGGGGTAAAGCAGGAACATATATTTTTATTACTTTGTTATTCTTACACTCACTCAATTAAACTAACTAGTTTAACCAAATTAACTCAAAGCAACCTACAGCAATTAATGAAGAGGAGCTTAAATGAAAGGGAAGGTTTCCCTCGTCGGACTGGTGGAAAATACCTTCATTGGGTTGTTCAGCTCTTCATCCTCTCTCTCTTTCTGCAGGCGCTTCTCCTCTTCCTCCAGTAGCTTCTCGGCCTGGAAGTTCCGCGTGGCCCCGTGCTCCATGGCGTAGTCTGTGTTCTCGGGGTCTGTCTGACGGGGACACAGGAAGCAAGAGGGAGCTATTTTAGTGGGAGACCCACAGGCCGAGTTGCTCCTGGCCTGCGCATGACTGCTAGTCAGGGAGTGTACCGTGAGTGCACGGCTGGCCACTGTGAGGACAGCATGCTGGGCTAAGCCTGATCCCGCAGCTGCTGCTTCGTTCTTCGCAGCAGGAGAGGCTCTGGCCTTCAAGCCCTCATCTGTCTGTCCACTGAGGAAAGAAAGATGCTGGACTAGATGAGGGACCTTTGGGGTCTGACCCAGCAGGACTCTTGTTACGTTCTTACTAAACAAAAAACTTTATTTGCCCAAGGTGTCTTGAGCCATGCTTAGCTAAAGGAACACAAATAATCAAACCCTGCCAATTTATTTAGGATGCATAGCAGGGAGGCAGAATCACAAAGCCAATTCTTTTGGCTCTACAGGTGTCCTTCCACTTACGCGCGATTAACTCACACGCAACTGCATATACAAGCGGTACAGGGAAATAAATAATTTGATTCAAAGCTGGAAATGGCAGGAGAGCACTGGAGAGTCCATGTGGTTTGCAAGGAGACCCTCCCCAGAGCCCGAAGAGAACATCAGTGAGGGTGGAAGAAGCCACAAAAGTCTGGAGACACAGTGGGGCTTTGTTTAAACCGCTCAGCCTCCCTGCCTCCTGCAGGCCCCAGAGCTTCAATTCTAATTATCCACAATTTCTGGATACAGTATTTTTGGTCCAGATTGGAGAAAGAGCAGCAGAGAGGGTGTTTAGAGGGCGTTTGCTTATCTGCAGGAGCCCAGAATGTAACCTCTGCATATGTGGGGAGATACCTGTAATTACCCTGTGCTAAGGAATGCATGATCAACACACCTCAAGGACAAGGACTTTCTTCTCCATCATGCACTGGTTACCTCAAGGCTGGATCACTGCAATGCCACTCAGTTTGGGGTTCCCTTGTGCTTGACCCAGAACCTGCAGTTAGTGAGGAATGCTTTCCCACTGACCGTGCTTCCAATTTGCTATTGCTTTGATGCATCAAATGGTGTCTTTCCATTATTTGTTTTTCAGCTGCACTGGGGAAAAAGAAGGATGAAGACAGCTCGTACCTTGAAGGTGATTTCTGCCAGGCAGCGGGTGCATTTGATATAAAACCGGAAGATGGGAAGCCCCAGGTAAGACTCATTCTGGACCGTCTCCTTCCGGGCGTTGAACTTCTTTCCTTTGTAGATGTACTCGCCGCAGGTCTTGCACCTAGAGAGTTTAAACAGTTGCTTCTTCTTATTGGGGCCTCTGGGTGGCCAGTATGAGAACAAGATGCTAGGATGACTATTACTTAATATTGGGGGCAAAAAAATTAAGAATGCCAGCTTTGGAGGAATAGATAACTAAGACTAGGATATTGTAAATATGGTTAAACATACAAGTATGGTAAGAGTAAAGGAAAGAAGAGAGCCTGGCAATGTTTTCACTGAAAAATGCAGTACCGTGTGTGTATTGATGTAATAAGGTACAAGAAAACGTAAATCTGCACAGATTGCTGTGAGTATTATAACCCTTGTATTGCTTCCCTGTTTAGGAAAGTTTTTAATGCCTGATGTTTTATTGTGTTTTTAATATCCTGTTGGAAGCCGCCCAGAGTGGCTGGGGAGGCCTGGCCAGATGAGTGGGGTATAAGTAATCAATTATTATTATTATTATTATTATTATTAGACCAGAAACTGTAATCTCAATTCTCATGTTCACATCTGGTTCTTTATTCTTCGTTATTATATCTCAAATGAAATCTTTTTAGGTTCCACACAACTAAATCATTTCACACAGAAAGCTCTGGCGATGTAACTGAGCCAATAAGGCCCAAAAATTCTCAGGGGCGGGGGGAAAGGGTCTTGCGCAACATTCTTCCTTACCGCATGTTGAAAGGTGCCATCAGTCGGACCACATACTGCCTGTCCTTTGGAAGTTTAAGCTTGGGGATCTTAGATGGATCAAAGTCTGGAGGGTAGTATTTCTAGGACACAAGGAAAAAAGATGGGTCAGATGAAAGAGCAGATCGTTCTCATGCAGGCTTTGGCAGCGCCCACTTCAAACTTTGGCAGTGCCCAGGAGCTGGTGGTCACAAAACCACATCTGTTTTCCAGTAACACAAAAAAACCTACTAAGCAACTTAGCACAACCTCCATCCCAAATGAGACAGGGCCAGCCAATTCTCTATTCCGCAAGCTTCTCTGGTCAATTTGCTTTTCAAGCTCCTTATTTATTTGTCTATCCCAATTTCCCAGCCCTGGAGAGACTGGCTGAAATTTGCTCCTGTGACAAAGTGAACTTGGGCTCTTTGTTCTCTCTTGCAGCAAGGAGTGGTGAACCTTTTGGGTCTGCTTGAGAAATCTGCTCACCAGTTGACCACGCGGTGTCTTCAAAAGCACCAACACTGGTGTTGGAGGAGCAAGGGAGTTGAGGAAGCCAGATTTCCCTTGCCAACTGGGAGTGCACTTCAAGGTTCCTGGCTGTATATTGAAAACCATCTCTCTACCTGCCTCGCACCTGATGTCACATGTGTTGACATCCGTCTGTCTTGAGAGATCATAGATTGTGCCTCCAGGGGTGAAGTCAAACTGCGGGAGAATCACAGCGCCTGCTGTGGCTGAAGAGTCTGCTGACTTGCAACTGCTGCCTCCTGCATTGTTTTTGCTGCGTCAGCAGCACCCAGGTGATCTCCCCGGGGCACAAGCCTGGTCTGTGTGTCTGGAGGTCCTGGGCAGCCCAGATGACAAGACCCCCTCTCAGCCTCGCTGATGTGGCCCAAAGGAAAGCAGAGCAAGACATTGGGCACCAGCTGGGCTGCAGGAGTTGCTGGAAGGGAGCCCATCTGGGAGAAGGAAAACCCTGGTTCTAAACTTCTGCTGCCTTGTGGGGCATCTTCAGGAGAAGAAAAGGCGCAGGAGTATCCCTACACAAATTCACAAGTGCCTAAGACACGTGGATTGTGCCTTGCACTCCTCCTTCCAGCAACTCCTGCAGCCAAGCGTCTTGCTCTGCTCTCCTTTGGACCCAGCCCAGGACCTCCAGACTCACAGCCTACACTTTTTCCTAGGAGAGGTCATTTCCGTGCTGGTAACAGTGCTGATGCCAAGAGCCTAATCTTCCTCAGGGGATAACATGGGGAGGGAGGGAGGGGGCAAATCAGTATGCCACCTTGAGCTCCTTGGAGGAAAGGAGTGATGTAAAAGCAGTAATAAATGATATAGGATGGGGGTTGGAAGAACCAGATCTCTTAGGGAAATGAGATGTAAATGCTATAAGGACATTTTAACTTTTGCACATTTTTTGTGGTTTTTTCTGTCAGTTTTACTGCTTTGTTGTTTGTAAACCACTTTGAGGCTTGTTTGTTCTTACAGTCAAGTTGAATATATTTTATAAATAAAATAAAATACAAATGAATAACCCGGCATTGTCTGGCTGGCTCATCAGGGTCTCAAAGAGGGTCTATCCTAAGCTTTGAATTTGGGTTTATGAGCACAGAAAAGCCAGTGAAGTAGCAACCCAGATTCAAATCAATCAATCAATCAATCAATCAATCAAAGTGCCCCAGTCCTGCGAGGTAGGTTTCTCTCCCCCACCCCAACCAGGGCCTCCCCATTAGCTGATTGCCAGCCCCGCTGTTTCCCAACCCCCCCCCCCCACCTCTCCTCTTCATCCCTCCAGCCACACAGGAGCCTTTTATCTGCTTGTCTCTCTGTCCAATAACACAGAACCATCTGCAGTGGTACCTTGGTTCCCAAATGCCTTGGGAAGTGTTCCGGTTTTCGAACGTTTTTTGGAAGCCTAACGTCTGCTGCGGCTGCTGGCTATTGTTTCAGGGGCGCCCGTGCCAATCAGAAGCTGCGCCTTGGTTTTTGAACATTTTGGAAGTCAAACGGACTTCTGGAATGGATTAAGTTTGGCGCTTTTGTTTTTGCTATTTATTTTGTGTTTTTGTGGCTTTTTCGGTTCATTTGTTTTTGTGACTGTGTGGCACCCAGTTCAGCTCCTCATTGATTGATTGATTGTGTGACTGTGGAAATGGATAAAAGCCCCCCATCCAAACAATGACTGTCATCAGTGCAGGTAAGAATTTTTTTTTCATTTTTATCATATACAATGCTGTCTTATTTATTGTACTGTATATTGGTTATTGCTTTCCTTTTATGGATCAATGGGAGAAGGGGAACAGGGGCGGGGAAAGCGCGCCTTGGTTCTGGAACGCTTTGGATTTGGAATGGACTTCCGGAAGGGATCGAGTTTGAGAACCAAGGGGCCACTGGAATCCCAGAGTTGGACGGGACCCCAGGTCCAGTCGGGCCCGACTCTGTCCTGGGGGGCAGACCTCGACCCCCCTCCCCTTCCCAGCCCCCCCCAGCCCGGCCTCACTTGGGGGTCCCCTCATCTTCTCATCTTCACCACCACCCCCGGAGGGAGACCCCAGAACTGACCGCTGACGTCACAGCCCCCTTCCCCTGCCACTCACATTTAACACTTTCCTCTCCGACATCTCGCCGCTTCAGCCTCGCCGGGATCTCTGCGCTCCGCCCCGCCTCTTCCCGCCTGCGATTGGCTGCAAGCGCGCCCTCTCCGGCCGGCGCTCCCGGCGCTTTCCGATTGGCTCCCGGTGTCTGTCCGTCAGAAGGCCCGAAGCCTCCGATCACCGAATCTCTTCCTCCTAGAGCGTACAGCGTGCGTGCGTGCGTGCGTGCGATGCCTTGTCCTTCGCTTCAAGGCCGTCCGTCCAGGCAACGAGACCCCGCGCCTTTTGGTTCCGGGGCGACGGGGAAGGCGCGGTTCTGCGAACATTGTGGGCTCGCTGCCGAAGGAGGAGCGAGTCTTTCAGGCAGGAGAGAATTCGAAGAAGGGGGCCATTGAGCTCCGGAATTTGCTGTGCGCAACCTGGTTTTCTTGCTTTCTCAAGGGGTTCTGAGGCGACACCACAAACGGGTTCCGGATCTGTCCTTTGGTGGAGAGTTTGTCCATTTCCCCTGAGGCTGATGGCTGAACACAAGAGCCCAGAGGAGAGAAAGAAAAGCGGAGAAGAACATGCACAGAATTTTGGACATGTTTGCTTATAGGTTGTTGGCATCTGCCTGTCTTGAGAGACAGTTGCTAGATATAAAAACACTGGTCCCCTGAAATAAATTCTAAGCAAAATTGATGAAGCAGCATACATTTATTTGAGTGATCACAAAAACATACTTGCAAGATGGGTGACCAAGGCAGGCACACCCGAAAATCATCGCAGAAGCTTTTCTGCTCTCTCCGAGGGCAAAATTCCCCTCCTGTCCAGGGGTCACAACCTGTCACGTCCGCCTAGTACAATATTAAACTCCCCACCTCTGTTCCCCTTTTCCCATTCCTCTGAATCTGGCGACCATCTCTCATATTTGTGATTTTCCTTATTTGGCATTATGTTTTCACCCCTCTACATGTGGTTTTTAGCAATAAAGCCATGTTCTCTATTTCACTGAGGCATATATTTGTTCTTTTTGCTGTTCTTCTTAACTGCAATTTCTGCAAAAGCATATAACACCTATTCTTTTGCTAGCATATTTAACTACAATTTCCACAAGCTATATTAGAAAATCCCTAGATAAAAATCTCCCAACCATAATAACCGTATGGCCTTATGACTGTAGCCTTATGAGGCTTTGCCCTCAGGTGGGAAAAATATTGCATAGGGTTGAGCAGATCTGACAATCTCTATTTCTCAGTTTTTTATTCCCCCTCCCCATAGATGTAGCCAGGATTTTTGTTAGGGATCAGGCCTTTGTTAGTGGGGACAGGCCTTTTGTTGGGGGCGGGGCAGAACCTCAGTTAGCCATGTATTTTTTTTATTGGGGGGCAGCCCATGTGTCCTCCCCCCAATCTTTTAAGATCGGCTCTCCTCACTTCCACATCAGCTGGCAATTTTTAAAATAAAAGTCCTCGTGAAAGTTCATCAGAATCTTAGTGCCTATTTCTCAGAAAACATACATTTGTGTAGGCACTTCCCCTTAATATACTATATATATATATATATATATATATATATATAGCAAAGTAGTTGCCCCAAATATAACACACTTTCACCTGTTATCTGTGCTAATTCCTGGGGATGCCAGGACTGAACCAGGGACCTTTTGCTCCACCGCTGAGCTACAGCCCTGACCTGCTGTGGTCCTTCCCTGTTTCGGACCCCGAACCTGCCTCTGGCCCACAAAGACTGACAGTCTCCACCCTCCTGGTCCCCAACAGACCGCGGCTTGGTAGTCTCTCGGCACTACACCATTTAAGTAAATGTTACTGGACTACAACTCCCATCATCCCTACCCGTTGGCCATGCTTGTTGGAGCAGAGGCAAGTTGGAGTCCCCATCCCTGATGTATAGAGATGCTTCCAGACCTATCTCCATTATGGCCAGGCCTCCCGCTGGGTAGGGCAGGAGGGGGGAACCTTTGGGCCTCTAACAACCTTTGTTGTTCAGCTACAAACAACAGCTGCCATCATTCCTGGCCAGGGGTTGGCAACCTAAGGCCAGGGGGCCAGATCCAGCCCAATCGACTTCTCAATCTGGCCCACAGACACTTCAGGAATCAGCGTCACTGTAAAATGTAAAGGTTCATTATTGCTTCACAAGTTGTGTATGTCTTTAAGGGCCAGGGCAAATAACGGGACCCAGTCTTGCAGCTGTGAAACATAGCAGGTGCTGCTGAGTTGTGTTAATCAAGCTGTGTCAGCAGTTGGGTATAGTATATAAAGAGCAGCGCCTAGCTCTCTCATCACCTTGGGGGATGGGTTGGTGGTTGGGTCTGGTTTGTTGTTGTTATCTTTAGTGTAAAAGGAGTTTTTGTTTTTGTTATTAAAACCTTGTTAAAGTTATTTTTTAGTTCCTTGTCATGCATGGTCTCCCCAGCAAGCTCTCTGCCGCGCTGCTAACCTGCAAATAGCCAACATTCTCCACTTGCTGGCCCCCCGCTCCAGCACCTGACCACGTGCCATTCTTTGTAAATAGCAAAGTTAGCCATCCTTCAGGCAACTTGGCCGCATTCCTTAGGAGTGAGCGTGTCTGGGCCAGAGCACATGTTGCACACTACCTACTGTGATGTGCTTGCCCCTGCCCACCAGCTGCAGAGTCCAAGGAAGCAGGGTGGAAAACCCTTTTCAGGCCACGAACCACCTTCTGAGGGAGCCGCCTGTGGTGGGAGGGCTGGCCACCCACACATCAGAGATTGCTGCACACACATGTGCACACACTCCTTCCCCACCCTTTGTGCAGGGAAGGCATTCTCACAGTGTGAGGATGCTTTCCACCCAGGAGAGATTCTCAAGGGACACAGAGAGATCTGGAGGGCTGAATTTGGACCCCAGGCTGCAGGCTTCCCAAGGCTGGTCTTGAGGCTATCTGCTTTCCCTGCCTGCTGCTTTCCAGCAGGAAAGCATTCCCTCTCCTTAAATATTGTGGAAAGAATCTGGGGGGGGGGGAGCAGGCTGGAGAAAAGGATGCTAAGAGCCCACCAGCCCACACATACACTGTTTTTTGCTCCAAATTACACCCCCACCCCAGGAGCTGCTTCCCTGCAGAAGGTGTGGCTCTCTGGAACTGTTTGCTGCACACCTTTGCGTGTGACATGAAGTTAGGACCAAAGTTCTCACAAGCTCTTGGTGAGTTCGTTAGCCAGCCTTCATGCTGACATGGGGAATAGATTTGGGACCCAGTGGGTGCAGATCTCCGGGGTTTTTTCAGGAATCCACGTTGAATGAAACATTCTCTGCTTGGAGGTAAAGTTGCAAGACAATGGAGCATGGACGCTAGGGTTTATCCAGGGTTAGTGTTGCTTAGAGTAGACTCACTGAAAGTAAAAGACACGGCTGACTTTGGTTGTGGGTCTCCTCTGAATAAAACTGAGTTGCTGACAAACCATTGACTTCTCCCTGGTGTGTAAGTTTGGCTGCTCTGCTTGTGGCGAGTGCCATTTTTACTGTCCTGGATATGAGCTTTTAAAATCCTGCGCTCGCTCAGTGGTTTGCTGCTGCATCTGAAAGTGAAATTCTGCTCTGGTCAGCTGCCAGATGCTTAGCATATCAAGGTCTTGCTTTCTGCAAACCTGGAATGAGGCTCCAAATACTTTGCCCTCTGCCTTGCACTGCCTGCGACTCAGATCAGATATTGGTTGGAGGAAGAACGAGGTTTTCTGCGCTTAAAACAAAGAAACATGCACTTTAAAAATGATGCACATGTTACTTGCCAGGTCCTTCCAAGTCAGTCCTCTGATGGGATCCCGCCTTCCTTTTTTTAAAAAATAAGATTTTAATAGTAGTTTTGAAGGGGCACAGTTAGGTTACCCCAGAAAGCCCTAAAACTGTTTGTGAATTCCCCCCCAGCCAGGCCTCGCTTCAAGCATTTTTAAAACTGCATTTTCCTCTAAGACAAAAAAAATTAGCTAAGCATTCATTCCTCTCTGTAACGAAAAACGCTGTAACAAACCTAGAGCTGAGAACAGTAAAGCTTTTCGCTTCCCAGATCCAAGATAACCTTGTCCTGGTACATTGACTTGCAACATACTTCCGGAACAGAGCCAGAGAACGAAAAGCAACATTTCTATGCAAAATCTGTGATGGGGAGAGGGAAGAAGGGGTTTGGGGAACAGGATAAAAACCTGATGTAAAATGCTTTTTGCTGCGGCCTGTCTTTTGTGAACTGAATCACACAGGTGCCTCTGCCCCCCCCCATGTCAGAATAAAACGCTTTTTCTCTGGATTTAACCCCTTGGTGTCATTTGGCTCCTTTTGTCTCTGCTCGGGTGCAACCAATTTTCCTGCCCATGGTTTAAAGGGCCTAAAAGGCTACAGTTTTAAAAAATACATTAAGATAAAAGAACGTAATCTAAATAAAAACAAAACAGAAAGGGAAAAGAAATCAGTGTCCTTTCTCAAAATCAACCCTTAACTCTTGTCTCACACAAAAAGCGGGTGGCCTTCCCAGCTCTCCCCTGGGAGCTTTCCTTCTCACAATCTTTCACCTTTTTTTAAAAATAAAAATTTTAACCTGTTTTATTACCGTAAATTTGCTTTGTAACATAACATTATTATATATATTCTATAAGACAAAGAATACAAAACACAATTCATTCATATTACAGTGCATAACTACATAACATTAATATATATGGTTTCTGAAAAAAGGCTTACATAACAAAATCAATTCAATCAATCAATTTTTTTTTTAAAAAATAAAAACTTTCTCCCCCCAACCCCCCCCCCCCGTCAGGGTTAGGGTTATATACTAGACCCAATTGCTGACACACCTTGATGAACACAACTCAGCAGCACCTGAAGTAAGGCACAGAAGTAGGAAGGGGGAAAAACTGAAAGAGACTGAAGCAGGGGGGGGCATTTTCTAAGAAAAGAGGCCAAGAAGTCTTATAGAGACTGATATCAGGACTCAGACAATCGCTGACTATGGAAGCTTCTACCTTTTAATAACAAATTTTCTTAGAAGGAACACCATATTTTCCTAGGCATATGCTTAATGAAATACATACACTGCATTTTAGCTTGAGAGAGCATTGTGCTCAACTAGGCTTTTGCAGCAGAAACATTAGGTTAACTTTGCAGCACATTCCGAAATAGACTCACAAACTCAAAAGTTGCAGCGAAACATCATCTACCATCAGACCCTCCTCACTTCAGCTATAGAGGGAAGAGGTGGGGTAATCCTCCTTTCAGAACACAAGCACATATACAGGATTTTTCTTTTCTTCCTACCACTTGGAGGAAGACTCTTTGGAGCCTTTCTCAAATAACAAACATTTGCACACTTCATTCTCATTTTTGTCTTGTTTAAGATTGATAAGGCCCAACATGGCTTTCTTAGATTTAAAATTTTGAAGCAAGCTTGCATTTTTATTTTAGATGGCACATTTAAGGTAAGCAGCTGCTGGATGTTACCTAAGGCCAATTTAAACACAGGAAAAACGTTTCTTAAACACAAATTGAAGGGGACTGTCAAGAGTCCAGGTGGGAAGTAAGCACCCACCGGGCTTCTTTCCCATCAGGAGTCTGCGGGTTCATTTCGTTTGAATGAGGTCTGACTCGGGAGAGGGGAGCAGCGATTTGTGGAGACCTGTAGCAGCCAGGAGGCAAGGGTCAGAGGCAAGGGAAGCTTCAGAGCTGGAGGAAGAGGAGCAGGAGGCAGACTAGGCAAGGGAAGGGACACCCTCTCCTGCACCACTTGTCTCCCAGAACCAGGAGGGACTGACAAGGGAGGAGCAGAGGACGTTTCCATGCAGGCGCAGTCTCCAGCTGTGTATGCGCAGTCCCTCAGGGAGAGAGACACAAACTGGTGGAGGGAGAGTGTGTTGAATGGTTTCTTGAAATGTAAAGGTTCATCATTGTTCCACCCGATGTGTATGTCTTTAAGGGGCCAGAGCAAAATAACGAGACCCAGCTTTACCGCTGTGAAACATAGCAGGTGCTGCTGAGTTGGGTTCATCAAGCTGTGTCAGCAATTGGGTGTAGTATATAAGGAGCAGCACCTAGCTCCTCTCCCATTACCCTGGGGGGTGGGTTGGTGGTTGGGTCTGGTTTGTTGTTGATGTATTTAGTGTATTTTTTTTAAGCTGACCTAACCTCTGTGCTTGTGCAGAGTTCGTGTCTCAGCAAATCTTCTATACCCTTTAAAATGTTGCATCTTTTGGCTAAATTACCATTTGAATAAAGGAAGGGAAGGGGAAGGAGTAGATTTTAAAAATAGGGTTAGATTTAAAAAAATAAATAAGAAACTCAGCAATTCAAGTATTCACAAAAGCTAGCAATAGAAGTTGGTCAAATTAAATTTGTTAACTCAGTTCTAAGGGATCATGTTTCCTTCTCATCTGGCCAATATTGTTTTCCTGCAGCCCAAGCAAAGGAGCGCTTCCTTTATTTACAGGGATTTGAGAGCAGGTGTTTATTAAAAAATGTGGGCTATCATTTTGTGTGATTTCCCTCTGGTCATTCAAGGAACAATCAGCCACGCCCTTATATATGGGAAAAAATGGCCAGAGTCAGAATTCATAGGATCTTTAACATTCTCAGTCATTTCAGCCTTACCATTTGCAGACAAAATTTTCTGCCTTTTATTTACAGGATGGTCAAGGCTCATTCTACTTGACTACCTGAGCTATGTCCTCTTGTCTGTAAAGTGCATTTATTTCAAAGGTGTTTTTCTTTTTTTGATCATCTCTCTCCCCCTTGGTTTCATTTCTGTTTTTGCCGTAAGACCAGTGTGCCGTAATGTAGCACCCTGCTTGTGGTTAACGCTTAGCTGGAATGAAATATTCAACGCAGCAATACAGAAATTAAAATAATAATTTATTTGTCAGACAAATAAATGATAGGCACAGTGGTATATGGTTACCAAAAGCTCTGCCCACTCCAGCCCTGATGGCCAGCACTTATATTCCCTCAGCCCAGCCCCCTTGCTCCTCCTTTGGCTGCCTCTGTCCAATCAGCCTGGTTGAAATTCCTATTGGCTGTTTGCTAGAACCAATCATAAAAGATACACCCATTTCCTATTACCTTTTATGGGAGACAAAGAGCTATATTTCCTTCTATCCATAAATGGCAGACAAGTAGCCATATATCTTACATTTGCCTCGACAAGGCACCTTAATTATCAGATCATCTTTACCCTATTGCCCTATTCACTCCAAAACAGATGGCTAAAACAGATGGCTCATGGTTTTAAATTTTTATCTTAAACAGAGATCTTGGGTTCACCTTCTCACACACCATCAATGAAATAAGAATCTAACATAAGAATCTAACATTTCTTACTTTCTAAATCCTTTGCATAATTACATTTAAGCCAATATATTTCATACATAACATATATAGATTTTTAGAAGAAAACGCCTTTTCAAAGTAAAAAGGAACTTAGTAAAAACAGTTTGCAAAAGCAACCCCTTAAATTTACACCCCCCTTTCAAGCCAGCTGCTATTCTTGCCCTTTAAGCTTAGGAAGATGTGGCTCGACTCTTAGTGTTTTTGCAGCTTGATTGTATTCTGTAATTTGTCTGGTCAGTATGACCTCTGCTCCCAGCCTGTAATTTCCTTTACAACCCTGAGGTACTGCTATAGATCAGGGGGCCTTGATCAAGAAGATAAACAACTGCCAGAGTACTCAGCCAGCTGCTTTATGTCTGGCATGAAACATACAAACATTTGCAAATATATTTTTTAAGCTCATTTTAAAATACAAGTCTTGATCAGATGCCTCAGTAAGACCAGTTTTTTCCTTGGACGTTGTTTAAAATTTTAAACGCCCGGGGGTCTTCTTTGCCTTGGGCTTCGCTGGAGGTTTGCCTGGATCCTGCAAGGCAGGAGAGAGAGGAGAAGGGGCTCAGGTGGCAGAATGGTAGAGTTGGAAGAGACCCTGAGGGCCACCCAGCCCTGCCAGTTTGAAGCCATGCTGGACCTGCTTAGCTCGGCAAATGTGCCAGCAGCCTTATTGCTGCACACAAGTCACCACAGTGGCCCTTGAGGCTCTGAATCTCAGGGCAAAGATTCCTGCATTGCAGGGGGTGGACTGGATGACCTTGGGGGTCCCCTTCCAACTCTACACTATGGAGAAGCAATGAAGGAGTTCCCCACGAATAACTCTCTGGATATCCGCCAACTCTGACTCATAGACAGCCTTGTTGCCGGTCACCTGCACAGAGGGAAGAATCAGGTACCCCAACCAGCCTCTGGGGAATATACAGAGCACACCACAGTAGGTAGTGCGCAACACGTGTTCCGGCCCAGACATGCTCACTCCTAAGCATCCTGGCAGCATGGCTTCCCTCACCTCTTGGCAAGCTCATCAAGTTCCCCTCGCAGCTTCGCCCTCTCTCTGGCCGTCTCATCAAGAACTCTCCGGGCATCTGGACTCTGCAATTTAACCTTATATACACAACAAATTTCCCCCATTCTTCCTCAAACTTTGACCCTTTTTGATCTCGGATTTTGCAAGTCATTTTGGCCAGTTCTATATACTCAAAGCGTTTAACCTGCCAGTCCGATACTGATGGAGTTTCCTATAATTTCCATTTTTGAGCAACAAGAATCCTGGCTGTTGCTGTAGCGTATTGAAATAGTTTTCGGTCTTCTTTTTTAATTTCCTCCCCTATTATGCCCAATAACATAGCCTCCAGCTTTTTCGGGAATGTGTATTTAAAGAGCTTCTTTAGTTCATTATATATCAAATCCCAGAATTTTTTCATCTTCTCACAATTCCACCACATATAAATCCCCTTCTTTCAAATTGCATTTCCAACAGGTTTTCCTCCTTAATTCATACATTCTTGCCAATTTTACTGGGGTGATATACCATCTATACATCATTTTTGCTAGATTTTCTCTTAAAGTAACACACACTGTAAATTGTATACCTTCATTCTAGAGTTTGACCCATCTATCATACTCGATATTATAACCAAAATTCATCGCCCACTTTATCATCACTTCTTTTACTAATTCATCCTTTGTAGGTGTTATGTACTGAGTTGAATAGGATCCAAACTGCAGCATTCTGATTGGTCCTAGAACAATAGGATCCAAATTGCAGCAGCTGTTGATATGCTTGGGCCAAGTCCAGCTTGCCAAAAATTTTCGACCCAGCCAGGGTGGCAAGGACATGGCTGACCACTGGCACTGGGTATGCATGGGCCGTGAGGGCCTTGTTTATGGTACATTTGTAGTCTGCGCAGATGCGGACTGAACCATTAGGCTTGACGGGTGTGACGATTGGGGTTTCCCAGGGGGCATTAGGCACCGGCTCCAGCACTCCTTGCTCCACGAGCCGGTCCAATTCCTCGTCTATACGGGGTTTCAGGGCGAACGGGACCCGGCGGGCCTTGAGCCTGACCGGTCGTACTGCAGGGTCAAGCTGTAGAGCAATGGGGGGGCCCGTATACTGTCCCAATTTCCCATCGAAAACCCCTGGAAATTCCTTGCATATGGCGTCCACGTCCACTTGTAAGGTAGTGTGGTTCACCCCAGTGATGGCTAGCCCCAGTGGTCCAAACCATGCCAATCCCAGTAAGCTAATGTAGGGGCCCTTGACCACAAGCAAGTCCAGTTGCCGCGTCCGCCCTCGGTATTGCACCCTGAAGGTCCCCACCCCCATTGTGGGGACCTTACATTTCTGGAAGTCCCGGAGGGTGAATGGGGCCGGCCTGAGTTTGGGACCCCCAGTTTCCTTAAGGTCCTTGCCGAGATTATGGATAGAGTTGAACCCGTGTCAAGCTCCATGCGGCATGGGGCCCCCTCTATCTGTACCTCTACATAAATTTTCTCTACGTTGGGGTGGGGCAACTGGTATACCTGGAAGTCCGTGAGCTCCGTCGAGTTGCCTTGGTGTGTTGGGCCCCAGGACCTGGGGCTCTTGGATTGGTCATCTGATGCCTGGCGTTGGGTGGGCCGAGCTCGACACACCCGGGCGATGTGTCCCGATTTTCTGCACTGCCTGCACTCTGCGTTGCGGAACCGGCAGGTCCTCCTCTCGTGACTTTCCCCGCAGCTTGCGCAGTTCCCTCCTTCTCGTCGAGGCAGCTGTGGTATGTGGGCTGCTTGAGTGCGCTGCTGTACTTGGTGCACCTCCTCCCTGTCAGATCCTGAGTCGTCAGTGAGGTCTTCGTGGTGGACCCTTGGTTGGGATGGCAGGCTCGGCCGTGCCTCTTGCGTTGACCTCTTGGCAGCTTCCGTTGCCAGGGCCTCCTCCAGAGCGACCTGGAACGTTAGGTCCTTCTTAGCGTAGAGGCGTCGTTGCAGCTTCTCATCCTTCAGGCCACCGACGAGGCGGTCACAAAGCATGTTCTCCAGCTCTGAGAAGTTGCAGAACCGGGCGGCTTGGCGAAGAGAGGTCACAAACCCAGTTATGGTTTCCCCAGGGGCTTGCCGCTTTGCGTAGAAGGCATTTCGACGAGCCACCACTGAGGGCTGCGGCGAAAAGTGCCCCTTCAGCTGTTCCATTATTGTTTTGTATGGAACAGTAGCGACGTCTTCAGGCGCAAGGAGAGCCCGGGCGATTTCAAATGTCTCCTCTCCGCAGACGCTGAAGAATATCGCCCTCTTCTTCGCGTCTTCTTTGTCGGTGACCCCTTTGGCTTCTAGGAGGAAGGTGAAACGGGAGGCATACGCTTCCCAGTCTCCAGATGCTGGGTTGAACGGCGAGAAGCTGCTTTCGGTTGCCATTCCGAGTTCTTTGTGTCCCGGAGCTGAAGCCTGGATACACGGTGCGAGGCAGCGGTGCGGCAGGTGGCGGTGCTGCGGTGCTGTGTGTGGCAGTCAGCTCAGCGGGATCCCACCTTCGTCGCCAGTGAAATATACTCAGAGTCGATAGTGGATTTCATACTCTTTATTCAGCTCATAGTGGTGAGGAGGAATGAATGAATGTCCCCTCAAAGTATCTGCTTTATATACATTATTTACACAATGGGCTGCACGTGATTGGCTAATTCTGGAATTCTACTGTAAGCCAATCAGGTTGTGGATTCACTTATATCTGGAGCATGATTGGGTGGTTCCTGCCAACCAATCATACTGCTGCATTGTTCTAGGACCAATCAGACTGCTGCATTCTGAATCCTATTGTTCTAGGACCAATCAGACTGCTGCAATTTGGATCCTATTGTTCTAGGACCAATCAGAATGCTGCAGTTTGGATCCTATTCAACTCAGTACATAACAGTATCCCACTCCAATAAATAATCCTACATTTTGGACAATATTTTATCTCTACTTCCAGGATTTCTATTTGGTATTTAGATTTTTTCTCACCAAAACCTCAGTGCTTCTGAGCCAAGACCTCTCTTCCCGCAGCCTACCTTGTCAGAGCGGTTCTTCAGCTGAACATACTTCCCCTCTGGGTCCACGTCCTCGATGCTGATGCTGCCCTTGGCAGAAGCCTGCTGGGAAGTCTGGAAGGCGCCGCTACTGCTGGCACTGCTGCTCCTGGTGCCCAACCCGCTGGAGCCACTGCCAGAGAGCTCCTCTGCTATTTCCAGGCGCCTCCTCTGGGCAGGAGTTCAGCCCAGAGACAAGGGAGGCCCTTGCACACAGCTGACCCGCAGCCGGGCTATTCTGGGATCAGGAAATTGGGAACCAGGGATGAAGATGACTGCAGACGGCCCCTTCCCTGCTGCTTCTCAGGATGCTCTCTGCCTCTGCTGTGGTAACCCCCCCCCCTTTACCTTGGCCAGCTGTGCACGCAGGTCGGCCACCTCCGCCTCCAGGTTGCGCTTCTCTGTCAGGGTTGCCGTGAGTTCTTTATAAATTGCTTGATTTCCCCTAGATCTTCTTTTTCTTTTTTATACAGTTGCTTATAATATTTATAAAAACATTTTCTAATGTCTGCAGGTTTCTCTATCGATTTTCCTTCTGTAACAATGTTTGTAATAGTACTTTGTTTTTGTCTCTTTTTTAATTGCTGTGACTCAAGCAGCCCCCCACCCCCAGATCTTTTCAGCCTTCCCTGGGCATTTCTTCCTCCTCCTGCTGGGCTGCTGACCCCTGAGAGTTGAACCCAGCCAGTTCCCCTTTGCTTTCTACCCCAGCGCTCTCAAGCCCGGACCCTCTCTGGACCTTTTTTGGGGGGGCGGTCCCCAGAGCAAGACATAGGCGCATGCACACCACAAAAGCAGCAAATGTGGCCCCTTTCTGCTGTCCTTTGGGCCTGGGGGAGTCTTGTTCTTTTCTCTGGCTCCACCCTCAAGTGGCCTTCCTCCTGGTGAGGTCCTGCAGGCCTCCCTCCCCAAAAAAAATCACCTTCTCTCTGCTGCCTCTCTCTGCATCACAAACCTGGAGCAAGGCCTAGGGCAGAGTGGGAGCTCCCCCACATACCCACATGGTTGGAGCAGGAGGGGTCCTGGGGGGCCAGACCCTGACAGCAGGATGGGGAGTGAGGGAGGGGTGTGGTTCACCTATAGGGTGAGGGGCAGGCTGTGCCACTGCTATGGTGGCTCAAGGGCAGGGGGGCACCCCTGCCACATCCAATGGCCCCATCCTGCCAGGGTCCCTAGGAGGAGCTGCTTCCCATGGAGGAGGCAGGGGGGTTGGGGCTCCCCGCTTCTGACCTCTGTGGGGAGGGGGAGCCCTCTGCGTTTGGGGGGAGGCAATGGGAGTCCAGAAGGACACCCCCCTTTAATAGTAAAAGAAATCTTCTTGTGGGTGGCTGTGACTCGTGGTTGCCTTTTCCTGGCTGCATCCCAGTGCAGACGGGCGCTGCTGCTTGTAGCTGTCTGCATCTCTTTGGCGAGGGGGGGCTTGCTCCTCCTAGGGGGTCCGCACAGTCCTAGGGGAGCACCGGCCCTCCCTTCCCAGCCCTTGCCCGAAACTGGGAGGGAGCAAGAGAGGGGAGCCCCCGGGAGCCCCAGAAAAAGCCAAGGCAGGTGCGCCAACCCTCCTCTCCCCTGGGGGGCACTTTAACCCCTTGCTTGCCAGCCAGAGAATGTCTGCTCCCTGCCCCTCTCCACCTGCTTGCCCAGGGCCATTGCTGCACCAAAGAGGGGTTTGGGCAGCTGGGCTGGGGGGCAAGAGAGAGACTCCCCAGGGCCGCCTCCTCCTCGGCAACCCCTCCCCACCCAGCTCTCCTGCCCCTCGCTTGCAAGCTCTTCCTTCTGCGCTGCTCCAGTTGAAGGAGGGGGGGGGCACGGCTGTCCTGTCCCAGCACCCCACTCCGAAGCAGGGGGACCCCCCCTAGAAACCCACATCTCTTCTCCGGAGATCCAGGCCTTACGTCCCCCTGACTCTCCAAAGGTGCCAATTTGCCCCCTTCTCTCTTTTTGCCAAACTGATGAAATAAGTACTTTCCGAGGTTCTCTTTTTAATTTAAGAAGCTTAAAATGCATTGATTTCAGAGGTGGTTTTTCTTTTTTGAGAAGAAAAAAGATTGCCTGCCACACAGGTGTTTTGTGCTTTTGAATTCTTTCTCCAATTCCTTGTTCTTATTTGCCAAATCCTGATATTGTTGCCAAAAGCAAATCAAGATTTGTAAAGATTGTATTTTTAGGGCAGTGAAAACCCGTGTCCGTAACGTAGGCTTGATCTCAGTCTCAGTTTTATTGCACATAGCCAAAGGCTGCCGCAATGTACACAGAATTATTTGACAATTAAAAAAAAAATACTTTATTGATAAAAAAGACTTAAAACATTTATATTATTAAAACATTACGTACACGTAAACAGAGTTATAAAAGTACCCCAATGTACAAATAAAAACATTAAACAAGAAAATTCATAAGCTAAAATCATCACATGGTCACTAATGTTAAAAACAATATCAATTAATACAGTGTGCAATTTATACTCAGAGTTTGGTGACAAAGATAGAGCATAGCCTGAGGTAGATAGAAAGGATCAAATGAATTCATCTCCTCTACAGTTAATGGCTACCTTGGCTATATAATTTGCTCTAATTTTCCTAGCAGCAGTTGCAAAAAGTGCTTCATGCCAGGTCACATACTTATCTGTGTCTGCGAGGAGATATAAAATCATGTCAAAGGGGTTCTGGCCAGGGGACCCTGTCATTATAGGTACCAAAAATCTTTTTTTTGCATCATTATATAAAGGACAGTGCAAGATATAATGCATAAGGTCCTCTACTTCAGAAGATCCCCTAATGCAAACACGTTCGTTTTTTGGTATGCCTCTGTGTCTCCCATCTCTATAAGCAGAGCTTATTGTATTTAGTCGTAGCTCTGTAAAAGCTTTTCGAAGTTGTGCAAAGGTCAATTCATTAAAATAAGATATGTGTTCATTGGCCTCTCTAAGTTTAAAATACAATGGGGCGCATGTAGATGTGCACATAGAGTTTAGATCGTTTTTAGTTGCCACTGCCCTTATGGTTCGTTTAAAGATATTTTTCTGGGAATATAAGGGAAGTTCTTTAATCTCAGTTACTGAGAGGTCATATTTGCCCATCAGTTGGGCAGCGTGATATACCCAGTTTTTAAGCGGTAATCCATTCGAGAGCTCAATCAGGCATTTTTTGGTAGCCTAGTGTTGTCCATCTGTTGAACTCTAAACCAGTAACAGAGAATTCTTTTATCTACCGTATTTTTCGTTCTATAACACGCACCTGACCATAACACGCACATAGTTTTTAGAGGAGGAAAATCTGTAGGCATGCCACCCGTAGGCATTCCCTCCATAACACGCACAGACATTTCCCCTTACTTTTTAGGAGGATAAAAGTGAGTGTTATGGTGCAAAAAATACAGTATTTGGCTCTCTATACTCAACATGCGAGTTTCCAACCTGGCCATGGCAGATTGCACATCTTTGGGTAAACCTAAAAGAACTCTTAAAAAATAATTCTGTGGGGGTTCCAAACCAGAGACCTTTGAGGTACCCCAAACCTCTGCAACATATAGAATCTGGGCCATTGTTTTTGCTTTATACACAGATAGAGCTGGGTTGACCAAATTTCCACCTTTACAGGCAGCGAATTTCAAAATAGCTTTTGCTGATTTAAAGGCTTGCAATTTAATATTGGATAGCTGTGTATTCCAAGATGCCGTTTCTGAATAAATCAATCCCAGATATTTAAATGTATTTTCTTGGTTTATGATGTGTTCATCCAGGTGCCAAACATGCTTTTTAGAACGCTTCCCAAATACAATGACCTGCGTCTTATCATAGTTTATAGATAAAGCATTCCTCGTGCAATATGAACTTAATTTTGCAAGCAGCCGTCTCAGGCCCACCTGGGTTCTAGATACAAGTACTAGGTCATCAGCATACATTAAAACTGAGAGTTTTTGGTCAATAATTGTGACAGGGGCAAACTGTAGGCCCTCCAGTTCTTTAACCATGTCATTAATATAAAAATTAAACAGGAAAGGTGCCAGAATGCAGCCCAGCTTGACTCCAGTAATGGTCTTAATTCTAGCGGTGAGATGGCCAGCCAGATCCACCTTTACTTGTATTGATGTGTCAGTATATAATGTTTTGATGAGAAATAATAGACGGGGGTCTATGTTTGTCTTTTCCAATTTTTGCCATAATGCGTGTCTTGGGACCGTATCAAAAGCTGACTTTAAATCGATAAAAGCAACATATAATTTTTGCTTAAAATTATGGATGTATTTACATAGCAGAAAGTTCATCACAAAGCACTGGTCCAATGTGGATTTCCCTCTTTGGAAACCTGCCTGGACTTCAGATATCACCTTATTTGTATCTGCCCATTCTTCCAGTCTCCCAAGAAGGAGCCTGGCATATAGTTTGGAGGCTACAGCTAACAAACTAATGGGTTTATAATTGGCAGGGTTTTTCTTATCACCCTTTTTATATATTGGGGCAATTATACTCAATTCCACCCTTCAGGTATGCAACCTCAGCTGTTAATGTATGTAAACAATTTTGCAAAAATGGGAGACCAGAAATCTTATCTTATAGATCTCCATTGGGATCATGTCTTCTCCTGGAGCTTTATTAGCTAGTTGGCTTGCGATTAGCCTCTTAATCTGATTGGGCGTGACGGTAGGCTTGATCATCTCTCTCCTCCTTGGTTTCCTTTCTCTTTTTGCCAAGTCCTTCATCATTCTTTTCTTCCCGTGTGCCATAGACCAGTTTCTTTCCTCGCACTGTGTTTAATATTTTGTGGAATTGCTCAGTGTTTAAAACAATAAGGATATTGATCACACAACGAATTAAAAACTCACTTTTGCTGGAACATCTCGTCTCTGCCCTTTTTCTAATGGGGGGGGGCTCTGAAAACTTCTATTTAGGGAATTGCACAGTTTGGGGGCCTGTCCACACCTCCCCTCTCCCCATCCTCTGTGCATCCTCCAATTCCCCTGGGGAAATCCGAGCTGAATCCAGAGTTGGGAGAATAAACTCAAGAAGACATCTGCTCCTCTTTAAAAAGGCTCCATCCTGCTTTCCATTGGCTCCTTGCTGCATTTCCACACCCCCACCTTGCGGGTGTTTCTGATGTGCAGCACTATCTAGCAAAGGGTGCAAAACCGGGAAGGGGGAGCGGAAACTCCGGGTGAGGACCACCCTGAACCTTGGCCACTAGGGGAACAAACTGGTTGTGTAAAATGGGGGTTTTGTGGAGAGCGTTGGGGAGGGCTTGTTTTCCAGGGTGGGGAGTCCTGGCTCTGCTTTAGGCCAACCCTCGAGGGAACCACTTGAGGGGGTCAGAGGGGCCCCGGTTTGCAACCTGAATAGAGCACCCACCTCCTCCTCCTCCTCTGTGAATTTGCCCACCGCTGCTGCTGCCGCCGTTCAACAAAGCATCCCGGACAGCGTCCAACCTCTGCTTAAAAACCTCCATGGAAGGAGAGTCCTGAACCTCCCGAGGGAGACTGTTCCACTCTTGAATAGCTCCTACTTTCAGAAAGTTCTTCCTGATGTTGAGTCAGAATCTCCTTTCTTGTCACTTGAAGCCATGGGTTTGAGTCCTACCCTCCAGAGCAGATCTCAAACTGGGGCAGAGTGCTGTTGCGAGAGGCCCCTGGGCAGAGCCCAGGGAGGCCAGAGACCCAGCTGCTCCAGTCATTTTCTGTCACACTTCGCTTCAATTGTTTAAAAACTGCAAAGGGCAATGATTCATGGGCTCTCTGTTCCTGTGCATTCTGAACAACAGGACAGACTGCTAATAATGGTAATGTGTCAGCTATTTTTTTCTTCACTGCTTCCTTCTGCCATATTTGGAATAGTCAATTTTTGCACTGTGGTCTGAGCCCCTTGCGGGCAGTGGTCCACCGAAGGTGGCATGGAATTTACATTCAACCCAGGCAAATTTTTGGCAAAGGAAGGTGCCAATGGAATTACCTTTGGCATGACTTCTGAGGAGAGAGGCTGGAAATCTAGAGGCTGGGATGGAGGGAACAATATTATGGTATTTTTAAAAGCAGCTAGGGGTTGCAACAATGTGGGAGCATTCACAGAGACAACTGGTGGTTGGAGCAAAGGGTTAGAGAGCTTTCCAACTGCGTCTCTACACAAAATGCGTGAAACAAATGGGAGCGCAGTTTGACACGGTCAACTCATGAAAAAGATGGAGCGAGAGGGAGAGAAAGAGGCTTGAGAGTTTGGGCTTATTTTGCCCGTGTAAAAAGGGGAGAAAAGGCACTTTAAGCTTGGGGTTTGGGTTGAGTGTGGTGCTTGTGCAACGATGAAGAGGCTGAGGGGGAAATGTACGGTGGGCGCCCTTGAGGTCATCGCCTCGGACGCACCAAAGAAGGGGTGAGGGAGGGCACCCCCCCTTTCCCGTATCAGTCCCCCATTCGGAGATAGATTTGCATCAAAGTTCTGTAAGAACTTGCAAATCCTTTCTCCGCACTCTAAATCTCAGTAATCTCGTATTCCCCTTCCCCCAAATGCCTCATCTGCACATATTCTGGGAAAGTAGGGGTGCGCTGTGAGCGGGAATAAGCTCGGAGAGAGAGTGAGGTAGGTTGAGCAGAGCAGCGAAGGAGGGAGCAGCAAGAAGAAATACAATGTATAGCGCAACAGAGGATCGAGATACAAAGGGCAACAACTAAAACAGTAAAAAATACGGCTTTCAGTAACTGTCGGAGCCATCCCAGCTTGGGCAGCCATCCCCACAAGTCCACATCGAATAGCCCCTCATGCTGTATATCATGTAGCCTCCCTGCTAGCTCATGGATGTTATTTAAATGTCCAGTTATATTTAAGGATTGATCGGTCACATGTGTACAGCACTCAGTGCCTATCAGGGCACATGTCCCTCCTTGACTGGACAGCAAGAAGTCCGTCGCAATCCTGGTCTGCAAACTGAGCTGCCTTACCTCAGACAGTTCGGACATCAAGGAATCCGTGATCTGGGTTGCTTCCTGCATGAATTTGAGGAGGATGTCAGTAAGTCGAAGAATGTCTACATGATTAGATCCTGCCCCATAGGCGGGAAAGAGGGCACGGCCTACAGTTTCTCCATTTGCAGCAACGTCTGAGAGGTCCGACAGCCCCTTTTGGTCCCTTTTATTCCTCTGTCTCCCGGGGGGTAGATGTGGGACTACTCTGATTCCGGGGACGATGTACCCTACGAAACAGGACCCAGACATGTGTGGACTCACCCAGGTGTATGCGCGGTGTCCGCACACCCAGAATAAGCCGCTGAGGTAGGACTCCATTCTCCCAGATGCAAAAGTCTGTAATAGCATAGAGTCCGTGAGTTGAGGCTTCCAGTTGGGGGGTGAGGTGGCCGACAACAGTGGCCCAGGCAATAGTGAGGTTCGGGAAAGTCTGAGAACCCCCTAGGTCAGTGACGGTAACTTGGCCAGTGGCTAGGATTTCCAAGTCAGAATTGCATGTGCTGGATCCGATGAAGGTCCCTTCTCCGGTGAAGCTGCGGCAAAGGGGTCCTTTCGTGGGGCCGGTGAGGTACAGATACTGGTGAGTCAGGTTTAATGCGGTTAGGTTCCAGGAGGTGACGTCTCCGGAACGAAATTGCTCCAATGTCACTGGCACCGGGACCAGGGGCAGACTTTGTTGGAGGTGACTGGGTGCATGAGCGCAAATCCAACAATCGGGGTAGGGTGCTTCCTTAGCGACTTGACTGAGGAGCTTGATGTAGGAGTTTTGTTCCCAGGAGGAAAGAAGGTCTTCCCCTGGGAGGGCAGGGTCAGCGCCGAGTTGTCGGGGTGCTGTACCTAATGGGTGGAGTGGGTCGGTGGTGTTGAGGAGTCGCCTATCTCTGGCAATGCCGCCACACCTTAGAGGCCCAACATGGTCCCACGAGGGGGGGCGTGAGGGGTGTACGGGATGGTGCCACCCTTCTAGGTATTCGGCCCCCTTCCACTCATGAGTGACTCCAAGGTTCCACAGGCAGCAGAACCGTCTCAGGCAGAGCCCTTGGAGTTGGGGCTTCTGGGGTTTCGGGGTCGTGAGGAGACACTGGAACCCGAAGATCAAGTTTTCGGAGGGGTGGTTTGAGTCCGTATACACATGGGAGGCTCCCCCTACCTCGTTCTCGGTCCAATTAGGGCTCCGTGAGACTTCTCCGTTGCTATAAAGAAGGTAAGTTCCATTATAACATTTCAGCCGGTAAAACGAGTGATCAAGTGTAAGGGCAGCTGACCCGATGCGGTGTAGGTCTTTATCTCGGATGAAAAGTTCCCAGTATTCGTTATCAGTGAGCCGGGGTACAAGGGAATGGCGTAGTAGGGTCCGAGATTCTGGAAGGCAGAAATCAAAGTCCCCCATTCGGTCAGGGTTAGACTTTCCCCCTGTCTCGACTTTGTGGTAATCCAGGAAATGATAGTCCGCTTGTAGTCCAGTACAGTGATCCGACGAGAAAGGTGAGGTCGCAGTCAGGGTGACAAGAAGAAGGAAGGCAATGGTCAAGTTCATGGTCGGTCAATGCACAGTCCGCAGTCACGAGAAGTAAGGAAAGGGACGGAGGTAGTCAGTCTACAGAACTGTCAAAGGAGCCGTCAGAAGCGGGCTGTTAAACAAGCGACAGTCTATGGAGCTGTCAAGGCGAACTGTCAAAACGAGCTGTCAAAGCGAGCTGTCAAAGCGAGTTGTCAAAGCGGGCTGTCAGAAGCGAACTGTCAAACAAACGGTAGTCTATGGAGAGAGCCGTCAAAACGAGCAAACAAACGGCAGTCTATGGAGCTATCAAAGAGCTCAAGCTGTCAGACAAGCTGTCAAAGCGAGCTGTCAGAAGCGGGCTGTCAAATAAACGGCAGTCTATGGAGCTGTCAAAACGAGCTGTCAAAAGCGAGCAACGGCAGTCTATGGAGCTGTTAAAGAGCTCAAGCTGTCAGACAGGCTGTCAAAGCGAGCTGTCAGAAGTGAGCTGGCAAATAAACGGCAGTCTATGGAGCTGTCAAAAGGCTGTCAAGAGCTGTCAAAGCGAGCTGTCAAACTCGTTTGATGCGAAGTTTGATGGCGTTGGTGTCTGGGATGATCTCGGAGGTCCAGTTGGGGGTCGTGGCGTCCGGTCCGGTCTGTTGAGCCCGACCTTGGCCCCGATCTGGTCCGGTCTGTTGAGCCCGATCTTGGCCCCGATCTGGTCCGGTCTGTTGAGCCCGATCTTGGCCCCGATCTGGTCTGGTCTGTTGAGCCCGACCTTGGCCCCGATCTGGTCCGGTCTGTTCCTCGTCGTCGTCGATGTAGGTAGCCGGCGAGGGAGGTGGGGTCTCGTAGGTGTAATCTTCCCCGAGGCTTTCCAGCGTCTCCTGAGGTGGTGGCGACGTTTTGCACCTCGTGTGATGTAGCCACGCGTTTTTTTCTCTTACCTTCACGGCGGTTGGTGAGGTCAGAAGCACTTGGTAAGGGCCTTCCCACGCAGGCTGGAGGGGCGCTCTCTGATAGACTTTGACCAGGATCCAGTCACCTGGATGGAAAGAGTGGGCTTGGACGTCGATGGGCAGGTTTTGTCCCTCGATAGCCGCGTACTGGTGGAGGCGCTGTAGCTGTGTCTGAAGCTGAATAATATAGTTAGTGAGTTCTGCTTCCCCCACCTCGAGTTCTGAGAGGGGAAATAAGGTGTTGTACACGGGAGGAGGTCTCCCGAACAGAAGTTCAAATGGGGAAAGTTTCAAAGATCCGGTTGGGGCACTTCGTATATTATGGAGGACCAGTGGGAGCGCATTTACCCATTTCAGCCCTATGAGCCTGCAGAGTTTCCCCAGTTGTATTTTTATCTCTTGATTCATACGCTCTACTTGACCTGAGGATTGTGGATGGTATGGTGTATGGAGGTCCCACTTTATTTGGAGAGCCTTGGCCACTAGTTGTACTACTTCAGCAGTGAAATGGGTTCCCCTGTCACTGTCTAGGCGGCGGGGCATTCCGTATCGAGGAATAATGTCTTGGAGGAGGGCCCTAGCAACTACCGATGCGGTGGCTTTCCGACAGGGAAATCCCTCCACCCAGGAGGAAAATTGGTCTACTGTAATCAGGGCATGTTTGAAGCCCTGACATTGGGGCAAATCGATAAAGTCCAGCTGTAAACTCTCAAAGGGGACAAAGGCCCATGGTCTAGCTCCTGGCGGTTTTCTGGGCTCACGCTTGGGGTTGAAGTGATGACAGGTGATACAGTTCTTTGAGGCTGCTGTAGCCGCCGCGGCTATCCCTGGAGCATACCAGGACCTCGTAACGTGCTCTATTAATCTCCATTTCCCCCAATGTGTTTGTTGGTGAAGGATCCTCACCAATTTTGGAACCCAGGCTCTTGGAAGGGCAGTCCTGCCATCGGGGAGGATCCAGATACCATTTTGTTCCGTAGCGCCTACAGATTCCCACATGGATTTCTCCTCTGCTAGGGCCGATTCATATATTTGTGTAGGGTCTATGTCGGTAGGTAATTGTAGGGCTTGGAATTCGGATTCATTGTTTGGGAGGCAAAGGGCAGCCATCTGGGCAGCTTTATCAGCCCGTCTGTTTCCCTTTGAGACTGGATCCCTTCCTTTGGTGTGCGCCCTACAATGGACGACTGCTATTGCGCTAGGTAAATGGATCGCTGTGAGGAGTCTCTCTACTAGGGCGGCATGTGAAATTTGGGAGCCGGCTGCAGTTAAGAAGCCCCTTTGGAGCCAAATTTGGCCGGTCGTGTGTACCAGCCCGAAGCAGTATTTACTGTCCGTGTAAATAGTGGTTCTTTTCCCTTCGCCAATTTCACAAGCGTGTATGAGTGCAATTAATTCAGCGGCTTGGGCACTATACTGTGGGTTAATTGGGTTTGATTCTAGAACCTCAAAGTCGGAGACCACTGCATACCCAGTCTTTCTTTCCCCTTCGATGACTTTAGAACTGCCATCTGTGTACAGTATTAGGTCGGGATTTTCTGAGGGGAGGTGGTCTAGATCCTCTCGTGGTTTTTCAGCTTGGCGGACTATGGTAGCGCAGTCATGGTGTGGGGTGCCATCATCAGGAAGGGGTAGTAAGGTAGCTGGATTAAGGGAATTGACGCGTTTGATGGTGACGTTGGATGGGGTTAATAGAAGGGCTTCGTATCGGTTTAGGCAGGAGTTCGAGAAGTGGTGACAGCCTCTCAGGGTCAGAAGGGTGGAGACGGAGTGGGGAACATGGATGGTAATTTCATGTCCTAAAACTGTTTCCTGAGCCTTCTCGAGGAGGATCGCAGCGGCGGCAATAGCTCTTAGGCAACTTACTGCTCCCTTTGCGGTGTTGTCTAGTTGCAGGCTGTAATAGGCTACTGGCCTTTCCTGATCTCAGAAGGGTTGAGTTAGGACGCCTGAGGCAACCCCCATTTGCTCGTGGATGAACAGGTTAAAAGGGATCCGATAGTCCAGTAGTCCCAAGGCAGGGGCAGATCTTAATTCTCGTTTTAGACGTTCAAAGGATTTATAGGCTTCCTCCTCCCAGACCAGTGTATCTGGGTGGTCTTGGCGAGTCATAGCGGTTAAAGGCTTCGTTATTTCACTATAGCCGGCAATCCATGCTCGGCAGAAGCCGGCCATTCCAAGGAAGCCGCGTAATTGCCGCTTTGTCTTGGGGAGGGGGATTTTGGTGACAGCTTCGATTCTATCGGTGGCTAGGCTTCGGGTACCCACCCCTAGGATGTGCCCGAGGTACTTTACTTCTTGCTTACAGTATTGCAACTTCTTAGGGGACACCTTGTGTCCCTTTCATGCTAGCTCTGAAAGGAGATGTTTAGTATCTAATTTGCATGCCTCCTCACTAGTAGAACACAATAAAAGATCATCTACGTAGAGAAGGAGGGCGGAGCTAGCAGGCAAGCATATGTCTTGTAGATCTTGATGTAATATCGCGGAAAAGATTGCGGGTGATTCCACGTAACCCTGGGGCAGCCTGGTCCAAGTTAGTTGGCTGGGTCCCCAGGTAAACGCAAAAAGAAATTGGCTGGCGGGGTCCAAGGGTATACTAAAGAAGGTGGAGCATAGGTCCGCTGCGGAGTACCAAGTCGTTCCCGCCGGGATGGCGTTTAGGAGAGAGTTAGGGTTGCCCACCACTGGGTGGCAGGGTATTACGAATTGGTTTACCAGTCTCAGGTCTTGGACAAAGCGATACCGAACTGGGGCTCCTTCTGCCGAAGGTTTCTTTATGGGGAGTACTGGGCTGTTACAAGGTGACGCACAGGGAACAAGGATTCCTTTGCTGAGGAAGTCCTCTATCATAGGCGTCAATCCGTCAATTGCTTCTTTGGGTACAGGGTATTGCTTGGTGCAAGGGAAGGGCAGATCAGTTCTATAAGTGATCTTCACCGGGGTGGCGGATATTAAGAGTCCTACAGAGGTTGATTCTGTGCCCCATAATGAAGGAGGTAATTCACTCTCTAATTCTGGAGGGAGCTCGGGAAATTGACGGTCTGATTTTTCCTCCTGCATCATGCCCTCATCTCGGGAATTATAAACTGATTTGGCGATAGATAGGATTTCACTAACACTTTTCCCATCATATCCTATTTGGAGATTTAGGGCTTTTCTGATATCTGGGCTGGCTTGATCTTTAAAAAAGCCCTTGACGATTACTTCATGTTGGGAGTTCTCCGGGTCTATCCCTCCCCAGGTCTTGATAGCAGAGACCAGCCTAGTATAATAATCTGATGGATGTTCGTTTGGTCCTTGCAGTACTGTTTGGACCTTCGTCCAATTGACGGTACGCTGTCCAGCAGCTTTTATGCCGTCTAAAATAGCTTTCTTAAATAGATTCAAGCACCAAATCCCGTTGGTGGTATTGTAATCCCAGGTAGGTTCTATACGCAGACACTGGGCTGAGAGAGCCTCTAACGCTTCGGGGCGTCCTCTCTGGTAGTCTGGTGATTCTATAGCCTCTCCGGCTTTGGCCAGAATGTCCGCCATTGAAAAGGGCGTTCAAAAGGACGTGGACATCTGGCCAAGTGGGGTTGTGGGTGGAGAAGATGGCGCTGATCTGGCGGTGGCATTTATCCGGATCGTCCCTCAGAGAAGGCATCTGATTTGACCAGGTTACTAGGTCAGCAGTATAGAAGGGCTGGTGCGTATAAACCATCCGGGGAGGTCCATTGGGTTGGATAGGCGGAATCGGCAGGGCCCTTAGGGGCATCTGGACCGCTGTGGAGCTCTCTTGGCTAGAGGTCCCCGGGGTTTCCTCGGTTCTTTCTATTGGGTCCTCAGCAGGACTACGGAGTCCTGCGGCGGGGTTTTTCTTTCTGGCTTGTAATCTTGTGAGCCTCTGATTCTTACTTCCCCGTGCCCCTCCATCCCCTGTCTCCTCGTCGCTATCTGAGCTGTCACTAGGGATGGGTGGTGTCAGCTCCCTATAGTAAAAGGGAACCAGGGCTTGTTCCATAGCATCATCCGCGAAGTGTCCTTCGTAAGGGGGGGGCATAGGCTGCCTTCCGGGATTTAATATGGGCAGCTGATAAGATGGTGTTCCCTTCGAGGCTTGGAGTAGTCCTCTGACTGTCTCAAAGGCCGCCAAATACTCTAACTGGTGGGGTTTTTCTTCCATCAAATATTTCTTTAGGTGTTTCAGGCGATCTTCACTAAACGAGCCTCCTGTTGGCCAACGCAGTTCTGGCTTGGTGGAGGCGGTGCTGGCGGGCCAGATCTCTGTGCAGAGGTCCTCTAGTTTTTGTTTCGACAACAATTTATGGCCAGGAATCGACTTCCAATAGGTGATAACAAATTCGAGAGGGGAGTCAGGGTCCCTCTGGGACCGGGATGGCTTTCTAGAAGACTTCCTCCCAGAGTGAGCCCGCTCATGCTTGGAAGCCTGGGTACCCATTTTATGACTCACGCGTGTCTGGATAGAAAGAAGGGAAAGAGAGGGGGTCGGTAAGGGTTTATATATCTAGTACAGGGGTTTATATATCTTAAAAGAGGGGTGTTCTCGTTGCTTGGCAACTTCCTAGCGATTTTAGTGAGCTCTTAACTATTCGGTTCTCTTTTCTATTCCTTTTCTTATTCCTATTCAATAACCTGGGGTCCCTTTCCACTCTGCCGATCCCGCCCAATTCCTCATGGGCTATCCCTCCTGGCAACCTCCTACCTATCGTCACAATCTCAGGAAGAGGGGCCCTACTGGACGCCCGCACCGTGCGGTGCCAGATCGGGTGGTCCCTGGATAGAATTTCGAATCGAAAATCCCCCTTGCTTTCGGAAGCGGGCTCACGATACACGTGGTCCGACCGGTGCGGCTGGGATTGGGATAGAAAGCCAGACCACTTCCTGCCTCCTAGCTAGGACGCTCGGGAAGCTCGGAAAGAGAACTCCAACCCCTTGCTTTCAACTGGGATGCCCGTTGCGGAGAGTCGGCTATTTTTCAAGTCGGCTCTCTCCGTCTTACTTTCGGGCTCCCAATTGGTGCGGCTGGCTGGAGGGTTTAGAGAAAGAGATAGAGCTCAGAACCCCCCTTTCGGGTCGAGCGGTGGTCCACGGTCTCTCTCACTAACCGGACCAAGAGAAAGGTAAGAAGGAACGATAGAGAGGAGGGCAGAGAATTCAGTTGCCAGGAGACTTCCACCCCCTTCCCACCAGTGCACTGGATTTTCCTTTTCCTTATACTCGCGCGTCTTCTATGATGATCCTGGGATCGATGAATAAGCCGGCTGGATCCCTCTTTGCTCCCCGGCTGAACTCCTAGGGCTTTCGATTACCGCCCGGAAGATGGCCGGAGTCCAAAAGGATCTTCCCAGGCAAATGGCCCGGAGCCGGCTGAAGATTTCGGGGGCCCCGGTCAGCAACTCGGGAGAACCGCTAGCCCCACGTTGGGCGCCAACTGTTACGGTAAAATCTGGGTGCGGGGTTACTCTGCCACCCAGCTTGTCGGACTAAGTCCGCGGGTCCCTGCGGAAGAAAATGAGCTCAGTCGGAGACAGGAGCAAGCTACCGAAGATCCGAGTTTATTGCGCAACAGGTTCAAGACGAGATTGAACCCTGAGAAAGGGGTGACAGGAGTTTTTGAAACTTCCCTCCATGTCCCAGAATACAGTGCAGAATATGTCATGAATACATTAGAAAGAGGTTGGGTTACACGGGTTACATCATGAATATATTACGGAGAGGTTGGGTTACACAGATTAACATATGGAGCAGGGAGGGGGGGGAATATGCAGAGCTGGAGATATGCACAGGTAAGCACTTCCTGAGTACCGGTGATGAGAAGACAATAGTCCGAATATGCAAAGTCTGTCACCTGGCATCGCCCGGAGGAAAGGTTGGGCAGAGTGATCTAACCGGATTAGGGTCTTCCTGAGTACGTGACTCCTCGCTCGGGGGATTATGGAGGCCGAGGAGGTGTCATGGAGTCCTGAAGAAACTGAGTTGATTGACACCAGAACCAAGGAAATCGGAGCTGTGGTTGATTTTATATGAATTTTAGAAGTTTTAGTCCACTCTAGTCCATTCTTATACTAATAATTGAAATTGGAAACAAAATAGATACATTGTTGCAAGATTTGACACTTTTATGAGTTCACAAGTTTCGATTCCATTGTTCTCCCAGCGGGGAGCCGTCAGCGGCTTGTCAAGAGGTTAAATGAGGCGTGCAGAGGCTCGCTGAGCTGATTCTGCAGAGTGGATGCATGGTTCTGATTGGTTAAGACGCGGCCATTGAAACAAATGGGAGCGCAGTTTGACACGGTCAACTCATGAAAAAGATGGAGCGAGAGGGAGAGAAAGAGGCTTGAGAGTTTGGGCTTATTTTGCCCGTGTAAAAAGGGGAGAAAAGGCACTTTAAGCTTGGGGTTTGGGTTGAGTGTGGTGCTTGTGCAACGATGAAGAGGCTGAGGGGGAAATGTACGGTGGGCGCCCTTGAGGTCATCGCCTCGGATGCACCAAAGAAGGGGTGAGGGAGGGCACCCCCCCTTCCCGTATCAACAGGAATGTCTGTAGCAGGGAATTGCATCAGGAACCCACCTCCTTCCTTCTCTCCTCTCCACACCCACCCACCCCATAGGCAGGGTCTGATCCTTTCACATAGACATGCAAAAACACACAGCCTGTGTGCTTGGCGGTGGCTGGTATTCTTCTTGTAAAACGTGCTAGCAGAGGAAGGCCTGGCTCAGGTGCTGTGAATCTGCCTAAATAATAAATAGCATTTAGATCTCTCAGCCAGCACAGCTTATACAAGCCCACATGGCTGACTGAGAGAGACTCCCACTTCCACAAAAGGGCTCAGATTGTGCAAAGGATTCTGTTCTCATCATATAACTGAGAAGAGGCACCAAAGCATAAAACAAACAGGAGACGGAGGTGATTATGTGATACATTGCTGTATTGTACATGCAGTCATACATATTAAAAAATGTGCACATTCTGTATAAACAAGGTATTCTGTATAAACAAGCTCTTCTCGCCCCCACCGCTGGGCTGTCGCGACCCGCCTGGCCGCCCGTTGGATTTCTTTTCCCTTTCTGTTTTATTTTTATTTAGATTAGGCCTTCAAGTGAGTTGCATCCATTGGATTCAGTGGGCCTTTGACTTGATACAACCCTGTTTCTAGGGTCATTCCGCAAGGAAGCAGCAATCTTAATCTCACTTGGGGAGTAAGCCCCACTGAAATCAACAAGACCTACTTCCGAGTAGACATGGTTAGGATTGTTCCCTGCTTGAAAGCATGGCAGCAGAACTTAGGCAGAGGAAGTTCTGCAATGACTTCAAACAAGCCTTGCCTTAAATCAGTGCTTCTCACTTCATCTCAGCTTCTGAGACCTCCATGCTCCACAGAGCTGCCCAAACTGTTTCAAGAGTCATTCTGTCCTAGGAGCTCCAGGCCTTCTGAGGCACACCTAGGGTCAATGGCATGAAAATATCATTAATCCTCACATTTGCCACCTGGTTTTATCTGCACAACCACTGGGGTTGCCCCTGAGGGCACAGGCAGGCTTACACCCAGGGTCACCGCTTGACCACCTCCCCCCAGTACAAGAACAGGAGGGCCACAGAAGCAGACTGTCCACTCCAGAGTGACAACTTCAGCCATGCTTTCTCTTCCCTGGAAACTCCTGGAGCTGCATCACTCTTTGGCTTGCAAGTAAGACAACAAAGTAGACCACGGGCATTGCAAAGGGAAAGCAAATCTTCAAAAGATGGTGGCAGTTCTGGCTGATTCAAGTTCTCTCTTTAAGAAGTTTACTAAGGAACCATCTCCAAGAAAGAAAGAAAAAAAGGAGTGATCATATGCAATGTATAAAAATAGTGTCAGTGACTCTGGGCAGAGTCCCTGGGCAGAGCAAAAAAGGAGAAAAGACGAGGCAGAGACGGTTTCCCTTCCTCTCACATGACGGTGCAGCCCCTGGAGGTGGTCCTGGGATCCCCCTGGAGATAGAGAAGGAAGGAGGGGCATCAGGAAGCTCCCCAGGTGGCCCCGGCAGAACCCTCTCTCCTGCCCTGGCTAAAGATCAGAGAGGCAACTTGGATAGAGGCTCAGCCTAGCTGTCCTCTTAGCAGCTTCTACCACTTGGGGACCGACCACCCTAGAGAGAGGCAGGGTGTGTGTGCCACAGCCAGTTGGGTGCAGGAAGGAAAGAAGAGCAGCTCCTGGGCACCACCCACAGCAGAGATGAGCAGCTGGGAGTCCCTCCCTCCCAGAATCTACCCTCACAAGTCCTCCCCTTTTCAAAGTGAGTCAGGACCCAGGAACGCTCCCTCTGCCACCCCAGGGAGGAAGAGACTCCTGACTTGGCCAATTTCTTCACTTTCCTTTCTTGAGCAGAGTCAACTCCCAACTCCTTAACCTTTGATAACTAAAAGGCTGGGCCTAAGCTGCTCAGCCTCGCTGTGTGTGTGTGTGTGTGTGTGTGTGTGTGTGTGTGAGAGAGAGAGAGAGAGAGCGCGCGCAGCTGCCCCTTGGGAGAGACCAAGGTACCCCGTTGTCTCCTTGGAACCACCCCCAAGCCATGGCTGCAGTCAGGCCCCAATCAATTCAACCCTTGGTGGGTGGGTGGAAGTGTTTTTTCTTCCAGCTACCTGCTGGTGAAAGAGGTCTTCCTCCCCAAACTCTGCCTCCTCATCTTCCTCCCCGTTGTCCTGCAGCACAGCAGATGACTGAGTCAAACTCCTCACAGCAACTTCCTGAGAAGAAGTAGGAGAAACGCAGCTCATGTTGAGTGTAGCAGGTGCTCAGTGAATGCTCAAAGGCAGCTTCTTTGTCATGTCCTTGCATCAAAAGCAAGGCAACCTTTTCTTCACTATTTGGCTTCTCCAGCACCTCCACCCCCCCCCCCACCCACAGTGCCCCCCTTCGGAGGACCTACCTCTCCATCAGAGTTCACCAGGTAGGTGCGGACACTGGTCCCGGTGCTCCAACTGGTCTGGTGCTTCCACACAAGGACAGAAGGTGGGCTGTGGGCCACCCCAGCATCAGCTGCCCAGATCTAGCAAGAAAGAGACTCCCTCATTCACAGGCAGGGCACCCTTGATCCTTCACCACGCCAGAGGGAGCAGCCCTCCAAGCTGACCCCAATGGCCAGCCCTCCAAGTGGCAGAGGCATCTGGGCTTCCTGCAGGGACCACCCCCCCAGTCGCAGGGAGCCTTTTCTCCACAGGCTGCAGGAAACAACCAAGGAGGTTCTGCGTCGGGCACGGAAGCGGGCAGAGCGTGAGGAGGTCTCTGGATACTGGGCAACCAATACCCTCCCTTCCAATGAGGAGGCCTTTTCTCCTGAGGAAAGAACCATGACTTACTGTGACCGCCTGCCCAGCCCGGAGGACATATTTTGGGGTAAATTTGTAAGCCACCTCTTCTCCCTCGCCAATCTTTTTCTTCAGCCTCCAGTTCCCAAGAGATTGATCCTGAGGGAGAAGCAGCGGGACTCAGGGAGCAGCAAAACCAGCCCCAGGGCCAGGCCAGTCAAGGAGGGAAGCCTGAAGGCCCCAACAGTGCTTCTGAGCCAAGACCTCTCTTCCTGCAGCCTACCTTGTCAGAGCGGTTCTTCAGCTGAACATACTTCCCCGCTGGGTCCACGTCCTCCATGCTTTTTTTTTTGTGTAATATTTTTTATTAATTTTAGCATACAAAAAATTTAAGATATACCACACAAATTATTATACATATATCCTTATTTGGACTTCCTTCAGCATCTCTGATAGCCTTTCATCTTAATTATTTCTCCTGCAATTCCTAACTTAATATTGCCTTTACATTTTCTAACAAATCGTTTCTTCCTTTCTATTTTTACAATATTAGAACAGCCCCAGATAAAAATCTCCCAACCATAATAACCTTATGGCCTTATGACTTTTATAACAAAGGCAATTAATAAGAGCAACATTTGTTCTAAAAAGGCAATAAAAAAGCAACACAAATTATTTCTCTCACAATGGAGTGAAACTGAACCTCTGGTTACCCACACCAATGTGAGAAGCCTGGGCCACGTGTTGGGGTTCGGGTTTCGCCTGGGTTGGCTCCCTTCCCAGGGGGATGCTTTTCAGAGAGACTTCTTGACAGAGCATGCAGCTCTCTCCTGGAGATGTTCTTGCTGTGGAGTTCAACTCCAGCCCTCAGCTCTCTCTATCCAAACCTCAAGTTGAAGGATGTGGAGAGAAATGGGCCTGTCATTGTTTCTGTTTTTTTCGTCCAGTGCTTTGTACTGCTTCCTAAGAAGTAATTTGTTAATGAAGCAAGAAGAAATGTTCTGCCTGCTCTGATCTTGGGAAATCTTTTAGTTCTGTAACAAGAAAGAATGAGTGCCAGGAGTTTTCTTTCCCCTCCCTCCTCCATTCCAGCCCCTTTTCCTTTTGTGGACTGTCTTATCACTGGTACTTATAGAATCATAGAGTTGGAAGGGACCCAAGGGTCATCTAGCCCAACCCCCTGCAATGAGGAATCTCAGCTAGTTCATTCATAACAGATGGCCATCCAACCTCTGCTTAAAAAGCTCCAAGGAAGGAGAGGCCGCCACCTTCCTCGCTAGTCCATTCTCCACTCTCGAACAGCTCTTTCTGTCAGAAGGTTCTTCCCAATGTTTGGTTGGAATCTCCTTTCTGGTAACTTGAAGTCATGGGTTCGAGTTGTACTCTCCAGAACAGGAGAAAACAAGCTTGTTCCCTCTTCCACGTGACAGCCCTCAAGATATTGGAAGATGGCTCTCAGTTTCTCCAGGCTAAACAAACCGAGCTCCCTCAACCATTCCTCATAAGGCTTGGTTTCCAGACTCCAGAATAGGGCTTGATCTTGTAAGTCACTGGTATTAGTAGCAATAAAGGCAACACTAATCACAGTAAGAAAGATATTAGGCATCATTAACAATTGTTTTTAAGAACATTGTTTACACATTTTTATACTGCTTAACTATGTGTGCAATGCAATTATGTATTCATTGCTTTGAGTAGTAATTTTAAGTGCATTGTTAATATAAAAATAAATGTGCAATACTGTTAAAATGCATATTTTCATAAAATGTAAACAGAAATAACTGAAGTATCCTATACTAATGCAGTGATTGGACTAATATAATATAATATAATATAATAATCTGATGTCCTGCTTACAAGGACATCTGGTTGGCCCCTGTGAGAACAGGATGCTGGACTAGTTGGGTCACTGGCCTGATTCAGTAGGATTTTGTTATGTTCTTGCTCTTGTTTTCCAACAGTAACATTATATACGACTTGGATGATGGACTCAAGGGCATCCTGATCAAATTTGCAGATGACACCAAGCTGGGAGGGGTGGCTAACACCCCAGAGGACAGGATCACACTTCAAAACGACCTTGACAGATTAGAGAACTGGGCAAAAACAAACAAGATGAATTTTAACAGGGAGAAATGTAAAGTATTGCACTTGGGCAAAAAAATGAGAGGCACAAATACAAGATGGGTGACACCTGGCTTGAGAGCAGTACATGTGAAAAGGATCTAGGAGTCTTGGTTGACCACAAACTTGACATGAGCCAACAGTGTGACGCGGCAGCTAAAAAGCCAATGCAATTCTGGGCTGCATCAATAGGAGTATAGCATCTAGATCAAGGGAGTAATAGTGCCACTGTATTCTGCCCTGGTCAGACCTCACCTGGAGTACTGTGTCCAGTTCTGGGCACCACAGTTCAAGAAGGACACTGACAAACTGGAACGTGTCCAGAGGAGGGCAACCAAAATGGTCAAAGGCCTGGAAACGATGCCTTATGAGGAACGGCTAAGGGAGCTGGGCATGTTTAGCCTGGAGAAGAGGAGGTTAAGGGGTGATATGATAGCCATGTTCAAATATAGAAAAGGATGTCACATAGAGGAGGGAGAAAGGTTGTTTTCTGCTGCTCCAGAGAAGCGGACACGGAGCAATGGATCCAAACTACAAGAAAGAAGATTCCACCTAAACATTAGGAAGAACTTCCTGACAGTAAGAGCTGTTCGACAGTGGAATTTGCTGCCAAGGAGTGTGGTGGAGTCTCCTTCTTTGGAGGTCTTTAAGCAGAGGCTTGACAACCATATGTAAGGAGTGCTCTGATGGTGTTTCCTGCTTGGCAGGGGGTTGGACCTGATGGCCCTTGTGGTCTCTTCCAACTCTTCTATGATTCTATGATTCTATGATTCTATGATATAAGAAGATTGGCTGATATGAGCCTTTTGAGTAATGAGATGTTATTAATTCCTATTAAGATAAATTTGAATACTGCCATTGGTTGCAGTGTGATATAGATAGTGCTTTCTCAAAAAGCCCTTGTCAGAAACTTCCGGATTGGTGGTCTATGATCTTTTGGGGATGGTGTGTGAAAGAAACTAGGTTTTTTCTTTTTCAACAAGAAACTGTTGTTGTCATTTTTTATACAGAATGTTTATTGGCATAAGCACATACCAAATGCAGGGAGAATAATGAATGTAAGAAATGCAAATAGAAAAATAAACTGAAAATACAGAGGGGAGGGGGAAACCGGGAAACAACTGAGAGTGCAATGAGAGTATACATTTATCACATATATAGAAGAAAAAGGGGAGTCAAATTAGTTCCCAGTAAAGGAAAAGGAGGAAAAGGAGCTGAAATTTCCCCATGCAAATAGAAATTAGACTTCAGGCTCTGTGTGAACTCCAGAATTGCAAAAGGTGATGAAGAACTCTTGGCCATCCCTGGGAAGTGGGGGCTCATCCGAAATCCACAGGAACTCCAGATGCTCTTCAAGCGCACAACTCTGGCATCCAGGCTGCCCCTGATGCTGCCGGACTCCAGGCACTGTACTCGCCGTGATCGAGGAAGTCCTTCGCTGCCACCTGGACCTGGTACGTCACCCCAGGGCGGATCCCAGTCAACACAAAGGATGTCTGCTCGGTGGGCCTTGTCTGCGAGAGACAAAAGACCACAGCTGTAATTTCATTTCTCAAAAACCTGACACCCACCATGCCACTCTGAAGAAAAAGGAAGCCAGTGTGGCCCAGTCTAGTGGCTACTGACTGGTGGAAGTGGGGAGATGGGTTCAAATCCCCCCCCCAACACGATGCTTCAGCCAGTTCCGGTATTCTTGTAAAGAAAAATCTGCCCTTTTTTCCCTTATGGGGTATCCAAGAGCCCATATAGAGTCCTTACGTAGGTTCCCTATTGGTAGGAGAAAATAACAGAGGCCAACCAGAGAATATTGAGAAGCAAAGCAGCTAGTAAGCCTGATCTTTATTGATCTGTTGCAACAGGGTCCTCACTCACCACATGCAGGAGGGAGGAGGAACTCAGAACAAAAGTGTGCCTGTCCTTATATAGACATTTTAAATTCCCTCCCTGGAGTCCAAGGCCACCCCCAGATACATCATACCTACATCACAGAGAGGGCAGTCTACAGCAGAAATCTGAGTGCTTTGTTTAACCTCCTGTCTGCCAGGTTACCTGTTAATGCTCACTTGATTGGATTGCCTGGGGAGCCTGGCCAGTCTTTTGTAATGATAAATACTTAGTTCCTGAGCCAGGTCACAGGCTCACACCCTATTCATATCTCAAGAATGGATTCATCTCTCTCCTGCCCTCAAGACATGACCTTTGACCTTGCAGAGAAAACATTTGGTCAGTTTGGGAATAAAAAATGGTTTCAGGTTGGTCTTCCTGTGCTGATTTATATACGTGCTTGGTTAACAACACTTATGAACATTTAACATATATCTAAAACCTCAAAATTCCTATCACAGTATCTCTGCCTTATCTACCTCAAAGTTTGTTGTGAAGATAAAATGCGAGGGCAGAGACCTTAAGCAACTTTAAAGGCATCCAAGCTGGTGCCCATCGCTGCTTCCTGTGGGAATGTGTGGAGAAGGGGCTTCTTTTATCCACAATCTTCCCACATTCACTTTCATCTGAGGTCCCCGAGTTCTAGTGTCAAGAGAGTGAGAGAAAAAGCTTTCTCTGCCCACTCACCCTGCTTAATTATATACCCTTCCACAGTGGTATTCAGGTTCTCAAACGCCTTGGCACTCAAACAACTTGGAACCCAAACACTGCAAACCTGGAAGTACCGTAAGTGTTCTGGTTTGCAAACTTCTTTTGGAAGCTGAGCATGCTCCGTTTTGAGTGACACACTTCCATTTTGAGTGTTACACTGAAGTCTGTCTGTTTTTGCTATTTATTTTGCGTTTTTGTTTTTGTGGCTTTTTTGTTTTGTTTTTGTGACTGTGTGGAACTGATGGATTGATTGTGTGACTGCAGTACATTGTTTATTGCTTTCCTTTTATGGACCTGTGGTCTCATTAGATAGTAAAATTCATGTTAAATTGCTGTTTAGTGGTTGTTTTTAAAAGTCTGGAACAAATTAATCCATTTTACATTACTTTCTATGGGAAAGCATGCTTTGGTTTTGGAACGGACTTCCAGAATGGATTAAGTTTGAGAACCAAGGTATCACAGTATTTGGACCCCCCTCGCCTAAAATTCACAGCACAATTTCTTACAGGTCCTGCTCGCAATCGTGCTTCAGACTTACAGCCATGCTTAGCTGATCGTCTGACTCGTATCCAAGGGGGCCACGAGATTACATTGGAAGCCGCCTAGAGTGGCTGGGGTACAAAAATAAATTACTGCTGCTACTACTACTACTACTGTGGCAACGTGCTCAGGGAAGCCATTTTGAGAGTTAAAATATTAAGCAAGGAAGCCATTTTGTTGCTCTCGGCCAGGTCCCCATATCCAATACACTCAGACACCCACGACCCAGAGACACACAGAGATGGGCTGATAAGGATTACCAAATTAGTACATGGAAGGGTCATGTCCAACTCCTCATGCCCTGTCTCCAGGCGGAACCTAATGTATCTATCAGAGTATGTGCAATGCTGTAACTTTTGATTGGATAAAGACCTGATTCAAGACTGTCTAAAGGGAAGCCTCCCCTGTTGGGAGGGGCCGGACTTCGGAACTTATTCCTCGGTGCCGTTGCTTGCTGCCGGCAAACAATTAAAGCTTTCTTGCTGGTCATTTGACTGGCCTGACCATTTGCTACACTACTACTACTACTACTACTACTACTACTACTACTTCTATTATCTCCAATAAGCCAGCAGCCTGTGCACCAAAGCATTAAAGGAAGGGCTGCAAGAAGAAGCACAACGGTCAAATATAGGAAGCGCAGCAATTTTGTCCTAAAGCTACAGAGCCCTGACTTATTTATGGTGCTCTCTCTCACCATTTTGCTGGTGTTGGTTCCATCCCTTGAGTAACGGATCAAGTATTTGAGGGGGAAGTATTCTGGGAATTTCCAGGAGCTGGGGGGCTTCCACACCAAAAGTATCTTCTTCCTCTGGCCCGGGATCTGGGAGACGGTCAAGTCTTCTGGAGGGTCAGGCTTGACTAAGACAAAGCCAGTGCAGAGAAAATAATACAAAACAAGCAAGCGAGTGGAGAGATGGAAGAAGCATGTGTGGCCTACGGTGCCACCTTCACACTAGGCACTAAATGGTTATGGATCCCAAAGAATCCTGGGAACTGTAGTTTCTTAAGGGTGCTGAGGATTGTTAGGAGACCCCACTAGTCCCCTCATGGAACTACAGTTTCCAGAGAGGTTTAACAATCCTTCCCGAGGAACTCTGGGAATTGTAGCTCAGTGAGGGGGATAGAGCCCTCCTTACAACTCTCAGCACCCTTTATAAACTGCATTACCCAGGATTCTTTGGGGGAAGCCATGCTTGTTTAAAGCGCTATAAATGTGTGGTGTTAATGTGGACAACATTCGAGTCAATCCTGCCAGCCCTGTAAAAGCCACTCTGAATAACACAATGTGCCCTCAAAATTCTGAACCTACAAACCTGTTTCTGTCACCCTTGTGGTTTAAAACCTTTTAAATCCCCCAGTGATGGACAAGTTCCCTATCTCTGCACTGTACAGACTTTTGCCCCAACGAAGCAGTGGAAGACTCTTGCTCATCTGCCTCCACCAGAGGACCAGGGATCCTTCTTTGGGCTAGCTAGTGTGGCCAGGTATTGGCTAGTGACTCATCAGCCCCAGCCATCATGACCAATGGTCAGCAATGATGGAAGCTGTAGTCCAGCAATGTCTAAAGAGCAACAGCACGTTACTGCCGTCAGCATGAATCCTGTTTCCTTCCGTTAGAAAAGTTGCAGGAAATCATGTGTGTCGTGATTCTATGAAAACTTACGGATCTCATTCTGGAAGAAGTAGTAGTGGGTCGTCGCTGCCCCCAGGGGGTTCACCGCTGTTACATTCAGCACATAGGGATTGATGGAGAACATCTGGACATTGTCAATGGAGCAGCTGTTGGCCACTGTGCTAGCTTGGACACACTCCTTTACTTCCCCTCCCATGCCAAGCCTGGATTGCAAAGAAGTCAGAGATTAGCATGGGCTGCCCAGGCCACCTAGTGACAAGAGCAAACCAGCAACGAATCACCCCAAGCGAGCTGGAGTTAACTCTATATTAGCAAAACAGGAGCTGCACAGGAGTGTCAGGCCTCATGAACACAGCAATTCTTGCCCTATGGATCAGTTGCTGAGACTAAAGGTCCCTGGCTCCCCACAGCTGCCTAAGTCTCCTCCTCTCCAGATTCCTCTTCTGCCTCTGATTCTGGACTTCTCTCTGCCACAGACTCTCCCTGCTCACTAAAACCTGTTGCCTCCTCAGCTTCTGACGCCTTTTCTCAGTCTGCTCCCTCTTCCTCCTCTGACCACTCATTGTCGTCCCACCTGCAGTCCCTGGGCTCTGAGCCTTCTTCCCTTGGGGTTTCTAGCTGGTTCCTCCCACCATCCCTGTGTCCAACCAGTCCATGACACCTACTAAGGAAACAAGTTGGTTTATGAGCGCCATGGGTAGCCCTGCAGCCCTTCTGAAAGCGTCACTTTAATTTGATAAATATTGTTTCCTCCGTTTCTGTGAAGAGAGAAGCCGAATTGCCACAGCTGTATCTATGATACCAATAAGAGGGAGTTTCTCCTTTTTACCTGTACGTGGAGGAAAAAAAAGTAGGCAGGTGTGTCTTTGTCTCCAACCTCCAGGAGCAATTGATGGCTGGGTAGGTGGTGGACCAGCACCATACTAAAGGCTTATCAGGTGGGTCTGGAGGAAAGGGGAGGAGCAGAAAAGGTGGCTTAATTAATTATTTCATAAAATTTATGCATTGCTTGATAGTATTAAAAAAAAACCCTCAAGGAGGTTTACAAAAAAAAAGATCATAGAATCATAGAATCATAGAGTTGGAAGAGACCACAAGGGCCATCGAGTCCAACCCCCTGCCAGCAGGAAACACCATCAATAATAAATCAATAAAACTGGGGGGGGGGATCCATAACCATTCTTTAAAGCATACAAAAGTTAAAAGACCATAACAGATTCAAATCACCTTGACTTTCTAAGCATCTGGGTAGGCTTGTCTAAAGGAACGCTTTTAGCAGGCACCAAAATAATACAGTGAAGGCGCCTTCTTGATATCTAGAGACAGGGAGTTCCAAAGTGTAGGTACTGCCACACTAAAAGATTGATTTCTTACATGTGTAGAATGGGTTTTATGTGGCACATGTAATACTGCCAATTCTAGCTGCTTCCTAGCAATCAGACCCCTCCAGCTGCCTATGGTGGCTGCTAAGGACAATGTTCTTAATTATGTCTAGTCCTAGGATCTGCCACTGCACCACACTCTCATCTGCCCAGTCCCTGACAGTTCCCAGGATTTGTGGGTGGAAAATTATGCATTAAATGCATGGTGTTTACCCAGTCAATGAGTCACATGACCCATTTTGGTCACTGCTCTCTCTCTCCACTTTACTATCTGGTGGGGAGACAGTTACATTTGAGTAATTCCATGAAAATGTCAACCAACAAACACATTTTTCATTTTCATATTCAGCTAAGATGTTCTACATCACTTCAAGAATAATTTTTGTTCATCAACACCACAAAGACAAAACTAGGGGACACCCAAATACCTTGGCTAACACACCACACCTTCTTAATCCAGCAGTAAAATCAGTAGCCACTAGGCCCTTGACCACATTTGAAAACCTTCGCCTGACAGCAGAGGGACACGGCTAGAAGATGGTATCCACAATATACAAGATACTTCTCCAGAATCCCTCAACACAATCAAAAAACAATAGGAGCACGACATAGGCTACGAAATAAACCCTACCCAATAGACTAAAATGTGGTCTAAACCTCCCTTGAAAGCCATCTTAGCTAAAAGAAGGGAACTTACTTATAGATGGTACCTAACACCACAGAAATTAGTGCTGACACAACCAGGAACCTCTGGTCTTGGTCTCTGGGAGGTGACTTAAATCACTAAGCTTCTTTCAATTTTTTAATTGGGCTGGAGAGGCTGCAGCTCTACAGGCACATACCTCCACATGTAGTGGGATTTTGATCCAACCCTTTTGGACAGCAATTCTACAAGAAATATGCAAAAGAACTAAACAGGCATTATAAGCCACCCTGAAAATGGTTGAAATGGTTGAAAATGGTTGAAAGCAGTCTTGAACAAAGTGTAAATGGATTTTTAACACAATAAACACCACAAACACAGGGAATAATGCCATTGTGGAAAATGTGATTATCTCAAAAGAAAGTGCAAAAACAGCAATTGAGGTACTGGTGTCAGTTGGCAACTTTGTTGAGTTTGAGACTGGGAAACTGAAAAGAAAAATTGCTGCCCAGCTAATGCAATAGGATATTCATAAGTATGAAACCCTCTTTTTTAAATAATGGGGACTTCTGTGACATTTACCTTCCCTGCCAATTATGGTATATGGTAAATTGAAACAAAAACCAAATCATTAGGATGTTGCCATGGCTAAGGGTAAATTCCTGTGGACGTTATAACTTTTAAACCCTACTGTGCCTTTAATTAGAAGCTTATTCCTTGTGGCTTCTACAACCAATTGCAAAAGCAAAAGCACTGCTGAATTGCTCTCTTTTATGCCTTTACTTATTCTGTTCCCATTTTCCTGCCATCAGCACCCCAAGTGGCAGATTACAGGTACTTGTTTCCTAATTTACCACCCCACCCCCCGCAAATCCCCCCTCTATTCCAATTTTTAAAAATTGAAAGAAGCTTAGTGATTTAAGTCACCTCCCACAGACCAAGACCAGACCAAATTAAGGGGCAGCCAATGCCTTAAGATGAAGAAGACCCAAGGAGCAAGCTTCTAATAAACATTGCAGGGGCCTTTGGTGAGCAAGACCTATTTCTAAGAAAATACTATAGAAGAATCTTGGTCATGGGAAAGGCATTGCACGATAGCATGCAATTAAGTGCTACGCTGAATTTTGATTCCTCTTCCAACCAATTCAAAGTAGGGTTTCCCAAACTTGGGTCTCCAGCTGTTTTTGGACTACAGTTCCCATCGTCCTAGTCCTGCAGCTAGGGATAATGGGAATTGTAGTCCAACAACAGCTGGAGACCCAAGTTTGGGAAATCTTGGATTACAGAAAGGCAGACTCTTAGTTAGACTCTGGTGGGGAATCAACCAGAGAGGGGTAGAGTCACAAAAGACCAAACATCAAGAACTTGAGACACAAGGAATGTGGACTGTAATTGTCTTTTTCTACTCACAGCCCAGCTTCAGATGAATTCTCCGCAGCAACCGCCCAGTGGCGAGATCATGGCAACTGTATTCCCCATTCTGAGCCAGACTGGCGTTCTGCAAAACAAGGCTGCCATCTCTTCTCACTGCCTTCAGAATCCCACGGAACGTGCTGCTCATTTTCCATCCCACCGTGGAATTGCCTTCAGGGACGGGGCAATGCAAGAGGACTTCAGGCGCCCCAAGGCTGGCGTACTGCTGGTCTAGTGGAACTCCTGTGTTCCCCCCACCCCCCAAAAAAGAACAATGGAAGGGGGGAACAATTAATAATATACAACAGTTGCGTGGTATTGCATCAGAGGAAGAGATAAGCTTGCAGCACTTATCTTTTATTCCAGAGCTTACAAGTAGAATACAAGAAAGAACTATTTTCTTACAATCATAGAATTATAGAGTTGGGAGGGACTCCCAAGGGTCATCTAGTCCAAACCTTTACAATGCAGGAACCACAGCTAATGAATCCCTGACAGATGGTCCTCTGGCCTCTGTTTACAAACCTTCAAGGAAGGAGAGGCCACCACTTTCCGAGGGAGTCCGTTCCACTGGCCAACAGCTTTTACTATCTGAATGCTCATCTTAATGTTTAGTTGGGATCTCCTTTATTGTCATTTGAATCAGTTAATTCAGGTCCTCCTCTCTGGAGCAGCAGAAAGCAAACTTGCTTTATCTTCCATATGAAGCTCTTCAGATATTTGAAGGTGGCTCTCATATCACCTCTCAGCCTTCTGTTCTCACAATGACCCTGTGAGGTGGTTGTTGTTGTTGTTGTTGTTATACTGCCCTGTACTCAGCGGTCTTGGTTAGCTGGGCTGAGCTGCTTCAGTGCCTCTTGCCCTAGGGCTATAGACTGTGTCTGCTCAGTCTGCTGCTCAGCTACTAAGTGTACATGGGAAACATCAAGGACATCCCTTCATATGGCCTTTGAACCAGGACAATAACACCAATGCCTGATCCCCTATAAAAGTTTTCAATGTGACCTTGCTATGATTCTACACAATGCACTGAAATGTGCAGTGATGCCCCCAGATTAACCACAACACAAATTAAAGGGGACCACAGGGGCTGCTAAGTAAGAGTTTCAGGACTGGGGGATCCCACCAGTTTTAACCCAACACAGTATTAAAAGGTTGGAAAGGGGTCCTCTGGATGATATGGCAGGAGTTGCTCCAGGAAGCAAGGTGCTGGACCTCATGGAGCTCTGGAGAATTTGCATGCAGCTTTGGAGCAGCCAAGCAGCCACACTGCCAAGCCTCTCCCATCAGTTGCCTCTCTTCCTGCCATACCTTTTGATCCGTTGAACCAAACAATGTCCTCTTGGGAAGGGAAACCGGGTGACAGGAGAAATGAGATTGTCAGTATTATCCACTGCATCTTCCTTCAGTGCTTGTGCAGCTTCAAATCCTGTGTGAAAGAGTCATCAAAACTCAGCTTATGTAAAATACTTAATATGCAGTATTTTCCAAGCTTACAACTTAACTAAGAAGGACCCCTCCAGACGGCTGGTTTTTTGGTGGGTATATTCTGTAGCATGTTATTGATGCAGTAGGAGTGCATTACAGTAATGGTAGATTTACACTGGACCATCCACAGGTCACTCTGGTTTATTAGTTCTGCAATGTTACCACATTATTGCCGTCTGGAGTGGCACTCTTGTACTGTAGTGCAACAAAAGTAGGACAAGAAACTACAACTCAGGAAAATTTGTGTTATTAAAACTTACAAGATTTTAGCAGGAAACAAGAGGATGCGCACCAGTTGCAAGTGAAGCAGTATGACCACCTGAAAGATTTTACAGGCACACATGGTCTTTATTCCTATATACATAAAAATGCAAGGCTGTCATCACACTGTAGTTCATGTGGCTGCCAGTAGGTGGTGAACTTTAGCATGATGGCAGGTGGCCCAGGTGAGCTGTTTGATGGGGAGAGGTGCTTTGCAAACCGATCTGTGAAGCCCACCCCCTTCCTTTAAAAGCAAGGGGGGTCATGGTGATCAGGGAGTGGAGGGGAAGAGGAAACGTTTGGGGCAAGCTGGGAGGGGATAGGTGAGTGAGGTGTAAAGGGAGGAGGGGCTGGCGGGGGGCAGGGGTGGCAAGCAGAGTGAGTGGGGCAGCGGCACCTAGCATTTATTTTATTTAACAAAATTTGTAACAAAATTTAACAAAATTTGTAAACCATTATATTTTTTCTTAAACTAAAAAACCACAACACCTCTAAATGATTTACAAAATTATAAAACAAAATATTAAAATTATCAACAGTCAAAACAAGTAACTAAAAACATAATTAAAATTAGACAATTAAAATAGGCAGCTGAGAGAGAGATGTTTTTAATTGCAAATATCGAGGACTGAACTCAAGGCTGGAAAAGAATGAGAATATGAGAGAAACCAAAATTAACAGGTTAGCCCAGCTCTCCATGACTAGCAAGGGCCCCAAAGTTCAGTCCTAAGGGAGGAGATGGCGTGGCCCCCGGGAACATTGGGAGAGCAACAGGTATGCCATGCCATTGCAGGCTCATTGGGGCAGAGATCCTTTTATGCTGTGATTTGTTCAAGGCACTGCATTGCATGCTGCTGTCATGGCAACAGTAAATGGAGTCCTAAATTTTTATTTTTAAGGGATGGGGGGCAGGGGGAGGACTCACCAGTAGCAAAGATTTTGCCTTCCGAGTCTGGGCTGGTTCCTGACCACGTCTCTCTTCAGGAGGCTGGATATCTCTGTGGTTTTGTCTCAACCGCTGGCCTTCCCCTCACTTCCTGGCTCACAGCTGATCTCAGGAAGCCTTTTCTCCTAAGAAGGGCCGGATTCCCATAACAGCCCCCCCCCCCCACTGGCTCGGATTTCCCCTCCTGTCACACATCCCGGACAGAACATCCAGAATGACAAAACAGGCTTCCCGAAACATCCCCAAGGCTGTGCACTCGTGTGTGTGTGTGTGTGTGTGTGTGTGTGTGTGTCCCCCATTTAACACTTATTGGAGCAATTTTTGTTTAGCAAGGGGCATTCCTGATTCTCTCACAACGACCCTGTGAGGTAGGCTAACTGACCAGAAATGGGGGTGGGAGTGTGAGTTATTCAGTATCCCCCCCCCTTCATTTTAAAGCAGTTATTAGAAGCACAAGTGGCAAAGCTGTTGACAACTATTGTGCCAAGTTTATCTATAAGCCTACAGATGCCTTCCAGATGATTTGAAGGCAGCATCCAACAGATTTGCTGACTGGGGGTTGATGGGAGTTGTAGTCCAAAACTGTTCCGGCTGGGGCCGATAGGAAGAGCCGCCTGAAATATCTGGAGAGCAATAAGTTTGCAAAGGCTCATGCAGATAGAATATCCCTGCTACTCATTTTAGCTTCCTTTGCTAGAGTTATGAGTAGTGGGCGCTAGGTGGAGCTTTTTTCAGTCGGAGCACCCTGTCTTCTCTCAGGCGGGTGTCGTTGCAGTGAGTACATGCCGAAACAAACATTTCAAGTCAAAATGGAAACTGGCCACTGTGCAAGTTTACCCTTTTATTTAGATTGGAAGACAATAATCAGGCATCCGCACAACACGGCCAGTCCAACGAAGCTGATGTTGAAGAATCATTGCTTTGACACTGGTGATCTTTGCTTCTTCCAGTACACTGGCATTTGTTCGCCTGTCTTCCCAAGTGATGTGTAAAAATTTTCGGAGACATTGCCACCCACCTCTAAGCAATTTACGGTACATAAAACGATATATGAAAATGCCAATAAAATCAAACTTATAAAACAGCCAGGGACAATAAAAAATTATCAAAAGACAGGTGAAATCAACAGTTTTCAAAACTACAGTCACACCTCGGGTTACAGACGCTTTGGGTTGTGCGATTTCGGGTTGCACCGAACCCGAAAGTATTGGAACTGGTTACTTCCAGGTTTCGGCGCTTGTGCATGTGCAGAAGCGCGGAATCGCAACCCGTGCTGCGGGTTGCGAACTTGCTTCCCACACGGATCACATTCGCAACCCGAGCATCCACTGTAATACAGGGGTGCCCCGCAAGACGAATGCCTCGCAAGACAAAAAACTCGCTAGACGAAAGGGTTTTCCGTTTTTTGAGCTGCTTCGCAAGACGAATTTCCCTATGGGCTTGCTTCGCAAGACGAAAAACGAAAACGTCTTGCAAGTTTGTTTCCTTTTTCTTAACACAGTTTCCTTTTTTCTTAATACAGTTGTGACTTGACTTCGAGGAGCAACTCATAGAACGCGGTGTGGTAGCCGTTTTTGAGGTTTTTGAAGACTTTGGTGATTTTTGAAGCTTTTCCAAAAGTTCTTTTAAACTTTTAAAACTTTTTGGGGGGTTTTTGGATTTTGGGTTGGGGTGTTTGGAATTCAAGGACTTGGTGTTGGGGAGGGGTTTGCAAGAATCTGGAAGCTTGTGTGTTTTTTTCTGCATTTTTATGATTTTCTGTGACCATTGGGCCACTCTGCTGTTTTTTAAAAAAATTCTGGATTTGAATTTCTGTGTGGTGGGTGGCTGGGGGAACAGTTGAGGAGGGGGTTCTTCAGCAAGAAGCAAAGAGTGGAAGAGGAACCTTCTTCGAGTTGTCCCCCAGAGTCTTAGAAAATGTACTGTACACTTTGTTGATTTTTAAATGTTTTTCTGTCATGTTTAGAAACTTAATTTATTGTTCCTTCAATTTTTGAAATGCTCTTTACAGTATGTGTGACTTTAAAGAGCACTTAATAAACTCTTGTTGTACCAAATTTGGCTTTGTTTGGACTTTTTTTGACCATAGGAACGCATTAATTGAATTTCAATGCATTCCTATGGGATTTCGTGCTTCGCAAGACGAAAAATTCGCTAGACGAAAAAACTCGCGGAACGAATTAATTTCGTCTTGCGAGGCACCACTGTACAGAAATGCTAAATGCTAATACAGAAATGCCTAAACCTCCACTGCCTTGCAGGATCTCTTCAGGAGAAGAAAAGGCTAAGGAGTAAACACTGCACAAACCCAAAGATGGCTGGATGGCAACTCTTGCCCAACATCTTGCTCTGCGGGGCCAAGAGGGAGGTCTTGTCATCTGGACAGCCCAGGACCTTCAGAAGCACTGGCCAGGCTTGCGCCCTGTGGGGGTCACTTCGGTGCTGCTAGCGCAGTTTGACTTCACCCCCTAGAGGCATACTCCAATGTTTCTCAAAACAGATGGATGCCAACAAATAGAATATTATTTCAGTTTAAAGACCACTTTATCTAAAGGATCTCAAAGTGGTTTGCATACACAAAAGTACAAAAAAAAACTGCCTATGTGTAGAGCTGCACAAATATAAGATGGGGGACACCTGGCATTCAGTAGTACATGAGAAAAGAAACCAGGAGTCCTAGTGGACCACAAGCTTAACAACAGTGTGATGTAGCAGTAGGGGGGGGGAGCTAATGCTATTTTGGGCTGCATCCACAGAAGTCTAGTGTTCAGATCAAGGGAAGTCATAGTCCCGCTCTATTCTGCCTTGGTCAGACCACACCTGGAATCCTGCGTCAAGTTCTGGGCACCACAATTTAAGAAGGATGTTGACAAGCTGGAAGGTGTGCAGAGGAGGGAGGCCAAGATGATCAAGGTTAAGGAAACCAAGTCTTATGAAGAATGGTTGAAGGAGCTGGGTATGTTTAGACTGGGAAAGAGGAGGCTGGGAGGAGATATGAGCGCCATCTCCAAACATCTCAAGGGCTGTCATATGGAAGATGGAGCAAGCTTGTTTTCTCCTGCTCTGGAGGGTAGGACTCGAACCCATGACTTCAAGTTACAAGAAAGGAGATTCCAACTAAACATCAGAAAGAACTTTCTGACAGTGAGAGCTGTTTGACAGTGGAAGACTCCCACAAGAGGTGATGAGCTCTCCTTCCTTGGCGGTTTTTAAGCAGAGGTTGGGTGGCCATCTGTCAGGGATGCTTTAGTCAAGATTCCTGCATTGCAGGGGGTTGGACTAGATGACCCTCAGGGTCCCTCTACAATTCTATGTCATAACATGTCAGGATGGACAGGAAGAACAATGTCCTCAATGTAGAAAGGCCATACTGTTTGGGGAGGAATCCAGTTATAAACCTGTGGCCCTGCTGCTCTGGTGGTAGCTGGACCACATTTCATGCTATGTTCCCCTTGCCTGAAGCACTTACACACACACACACACACACACACACACACACACACACACACACGATGCCAAACTGAAATACAGCAAATGATAGAAAAGCGTTGTTAACTAAGTGTTAACTTCCAAACATCCCCAGGGTGTAGGAAATCCAGGTGTGGTCAAATTCTGTATCATGCAGATGGCATTCATTGATCCTAGAGTCTAGTCCAAGCCCCTGCAATGCAGGAATCTTTTTGCCCAATGTGGGGCTCGAATTCATGACCCTGAGATTCTCATGCTCAACCAACCGAGTTATTAAAATATTCATTTGACACTTTCCCCGAGAAGTTCATCACAGTTTCCGGCAACAACAGGCATTTCAGAATTCCACATTCATTTAATAAGGCAGCAAAATGCAGGTTGCCGCTGCCAAATGGAAAGCAATACAAGGATAAAGTGTGCATCAGAATTATATGCAGGACAGAGACGTTTAAAGAACAACATCTAAGGGACAGGGCAGAGTCAGGAAGCCCAGCAGGTAATAATAGTACAGTGGTACCTCAGGTTACATACGCTTCAGGTTACAGACTCCGCTAACCCAGAAATAGTGCTTCAGGTTAAGAACTTTGCTTCAGGATGAGAACAGAAATCATGCGGCAGTGGCGTGGCGGCAGCAGGAGGCCCCATTAGCTAAAGTGGAACCTCAGGTTAAGAACAGTTTCAGGTTAAGAACGGACCTCCGGAACGAATTAAGTACTTAACCCGAGGTACCACTGTACATGATTTCCTTTGCAATTTCAGCTTTTCTCAGAGAACGTGAAATTGCATGTTCAACAACTGAGGATTCATAGCTGTGCAACAGGTTCAGGTGGGGCAGGTCGGGAGGGGTGGGATCCTGGCTCTTGAGAAGCTTACAGGGCGGGGTAGCTGGCTTGATTGGCTATGCCACAGTGATTGCCAGTGCCCTTGACCAATCGCATGTAGCCTTGCTCTCCCCATTTCTCAGACCAGCTGACAGAGAAAGAGAGAGAAAGGAGGGGTCAGTACATTATTTTATTTCATGCAATTTATATAACACTTGATTGTAAAAAAAAAAAAGCCCCCCAAACCCTCAAAGCCATTATCACCATCATAACTGTATATTGTCAGTGGTAGTAACAGTAGTATTTTCATTTCCATACCGCTTTATATTTTTAAGGGGGTGAAATCTCTTTTTAAAAATTACATTTTGTTAAGTTTCCAGATGTTTAGCATATACAATCAAAACACAATTTCATCTTTTCTTGGTTTTTTTATCTGCTTCCCAGTTTTCCATGGAGTTGTTGTTCTTCTCCTTCTGCTACGCTCTCTCTTCTATTAAATCATAACCACAGTATTATACTCTAATTATTTCTGTTGCTCATATCTCAAATCCTCCTCGCAAGCTCATCATACTATAATATTTCTTTAAATAGTCCCAAAAGGCATCCAGTCGTCCATAAAACACTCGTCATTAGATTCTCTTAATTTTGCTGTTAATTTTGAGAGTTCTGCAAAGTCCATTATCTTACTTTTCCATTCTTCGTTGGTGGGAACTACTTCTTCCTTCCATTTCTGCACACATAAAATCCTAGCCGCTGTTGTTACATAAACAACATTAATATTTTTTTGGGGGGGGATTTCTCCCCCTATAATCCCTAACAAAAACGCTTTGGGCATTTTGGATATCTTTTTTATTTAATCATGTTTCATCTTCCAAAATTCCCTCGCTTTCTTGCAATTCTACCACATATGAAAAAAAGATCCATCTGCGGGTTTACACTTCCAGCAATTGTTAGGAATATTCTTATACATTTTAGATAATTGGTTAGGTGTTAAGTATATCACTTAAGCAATACATGTAATTTTCATGTAATTTACTTTTAAAGCAGTATATTTCATATTTACTTTCCACAGCTTTTCTCATGCACTTATTTCCATATTATGTCCCAGATCTTTAGCCCAGTGTATATTCTTGATTTAACCATTTCGTCTTTTGTATCCCATTCTAATAATGGGAGACTGAATATAATTAGTAATATAATTACTTTCTAATATAATTTTAGGACACGGGTGGCGCTGTGGTCTAAACCACATGTGCGGGTCGTGATTCGATGCTTTTGCGCATGCATGTATGCGTGAGCACCGAAACCTGGAAGTGGTGTGCAACCCGAAATCGCATAACCTGAAGCATCTGTAACCCGAGGTACCACTGTATGAAACTGTTGCAACAGGGTCCCCACTCCCCACACACAGCAGGGAGGAGGAACCCAGAACAATGGTGTGCAAGCCCTTATGTAGACTTTTGAAATTGCCCACCCTGTAGCCCAAGACCACCCCCCCAGGACATACATCGCAGAAGGAGGTGGTCTCCAGCAGACATCCTATCTGTCAGGATACCTGTTAATGGTCCCTGATTACATTGCCGGGGCAGCCTGGCCATTCTTTTGTAATGGTAAATACTTTAGTTCCTGAAGGCTCACCCTATTCATGCACAAATATGCCCTTAAGACAGCATTTGTGAGCAAAGAGACAATGGGGAGGCTTTCCCATTTCCTTCCTTTCAGAGAATATTTGAGGTCAATTGGGGGGGTCAAAATGGCTTCAGGACTATTTTCCTGTACTGTTTCAGACATGTGGTTGCTGGCGACCATGGGAGGAGAAGAGGGCTGCTCTTGTGCCCAAATCCTGCTCCCAGACTTGGGGGCATCTGGTTGGCCACTGTGAGAACAGGAGGCTGGACTAGATGGCGCAATGACCTAGATGGCCCAAGACATTTGGGCCCCTGAGACAATCACTCAATGGTGTCCCACCACCAAGGGTGGGAGGAGACGAGCTTCCCATTGCCAAGGGGCCGCTATGGAGGCTGCTGCCCCATGGATCCTGCAGCCTGAGGCGGTTCCCGCACCTCACCTCATGGGTGGGCCAGCCCTCGCAGAAGAGCTTCTCTTATGTTCTTCTGAGCTTTTCCCGACCTTCCCCGCCCCGGCTCAAATACCCCTTTGGTCACCTGTTCTTTAGGATCCAATAAGCCGTGTTGTTCCCACCGTCCTGGAGCGTCCCATAACCAACAGCCAGCATGGCGTGGCTCACCAGCTGGGTACACGAGGAGCTGTCAAACACCCCTGGCAGGAGAAGAGACCTGGAGTGAGGCAGGATCAGAACGGGGCAAAGCGGGGAGGAAGGCGCGCCCAAGGGGGCTTCATCCAATGTGAGCCTGGCTTGCAGCAGATCCTCCGATATGAATGTAGGGACATATTTAACATAAATACAAATTTAATAAACAAATAAAATAACAATGACCAACTGGGACCACTCAGAGTAGACCATAGCCGACTGCACAAACACTCCAACACCACCATCACTCTGAAATCTAGTTATCTACCTTGTGTGTCAAGTATGACTTTCCAATGGGAAGCTTTTTGGATTTAAAAAAGTAAATAAATTCCAAGTTCTATTTTTTTAAGAGCACCAGGATCGTTGAAGGGGTAATGCACAAAGAGGGAAGGGGTATGGAGAAGGAAGAGCTGTAGAAAGTCAGGGCTTGTCCTGCCATCCCAAAGAAAACTGCTCTTTAGCGCTCAATAGCCAATTTGGGTTTTCCCTGGTTTGCCATTTGTTCCAATTGATCACCAAAAGAGCCAGTTTTCCCTCGGAAAGGAGCAGGGCAAGGGGGAGAGCACTTGGACCACACTTTCTGTGGCACACAGGTAGACGTGCGGGCGAGCCCTTTGTGTAGACAGTCCTGAGGTATATATTGTAGACCAGGGGTCAGCAAACTTTTCCAGCAGGGGGCTGGTCCACTGTCCCTCAGACCTTGGGGGGGGGGTTATATTTTGGAAGAAAAAAGAAGAACGAATTCCTATGCCCCACAAATAACCCAGAGAAGCATTTTCAATAAAAGGACACATTCCACTCATGTAAAAACACGCTGATTCCCGGACTGTCCACGGGCCGGATTGAGAAGGCGATGGAGCTGGATCCAGCCCCCGGGCCTTAGGTTGCCTACCCATGTTATAGACCAATGGCCTGACTTCCTCTTTAAATCAGGCCCATGAGGACTAGAATCTTACTTTATTAACAAGGGAAGGAGTGTAGCTCAGTGGTAGAGCCTTTACCACATCAGCTCAATCCCTGACGGCATCTCCAGGTGGGGCTGGGAGAGAGAGACCCCTCGGCCTGAAACTCCAGAGAGCTGCTGCCAGCCAGTGTAGACATTACTGAGCTAGATGGAGCAACGGCAGCATCCTCTGCCTCATAGATGGGCTACCTCTATAATTGCACAAACTTCCCCAACCATCCAACTTGATATAAAGATCCTGGTTTTTAGCATGTGGAGGGTCCGAGTTCCGAGGTTTTCAGGCACAGAACAGGCCTTTAAGCCAAGCACATCCAGTGCAACATAAAAATATTATGTGTGTGTGTGTTCTTTACAGTACTAGTACATAAAACCATATAGTGTAAAACCATATTAAAAGTTTAAATCAGAAATCAGCTAACTATTGTGGGAAGATGCATTTTTCCTTCTCTGCTTAGGCCTGGCGTGGAAAAGTTTTCAGCAGGTGTTTAAAAGTCGGCACAGGTGGTGCCTGCTGGCTTGCTAGTGGCAGAGAGTTCCACAGGATAAGGTCACAGGATAGGGTTCTGATTCTTGTTGCTGTCAGGTCAGCCTGAGTTGGGGAACGACCCTACAATGCTCCTGCAGGTGATCTCAGTAACTGAGCTGGGAAAGGAGGCTTCAGGTGATCCCTGAGGCAGCATGGACGTAAGTTGTTCAGGGATTTGTAAATCAATGCAAGGACTTTAAACATGGCTTGGCAGGGGTTGGGCAGCCGGTACAAATATTTTTAACAAAGGTGTCTCTCGTCCTTGGCCAGATGTCCCCATCAACAGTCTGGTCACTGCATTCTGCACCTGCCAGAGCTTCGAAACCAGGTGCAAAGGGCAGCCCCACGTGCTGAACATTGCAGTAGTCCAACCTCAAGCTCACCGCTGCATGGACTACGGTGTCTGGCACTGCTGCTGCAGCCCACCTTAGATAAGGCCCACAAATTAGCCATCTGTGTCCAGGAGTTGCCTATTATTCCTTAGCTTGTTAAGTATAATTGTATAATTGCACACTGAAATAGAGAGTGCCTGTATGTATGTTGCTAAGGTATCTGAAGAAGTGTGCGTGCACACAAAAGCTTATACCCAGAACAAACTTAGTTGGTCTCTAATGTGCTACTGGACAATTTTTTAATTTATTTTGACTGCATCAGCCCAACACGGATACCTACCTGAATCTAGTATGTTGCTAAGGGTTTAACATTGGAAAATCCCATTGTATCTATCTAACTGAGTCAATAATTTACTGTTCATATTCTCTGCTAGCTTTCACATGGGAGTTTAACCTTAGATGATGCAGTTAATGTATTCAATTGCCAATTCATCATTCTGGAGGGAGCTGGCTCGGTCTTTTGTACCCAAACACAGTGAGAGGAGGATGTGATAAGTTGCACCTCCAGGAGCTGCACAGAGACACAGCGTGTATTTTTGCTCTGGTCATAATTTAAGAAGAGCCTATCCTTGATGCAAATGCTTTATACAACTTTCTGGATGTATTGCTGATTGTTTCGTACCTGTTTAAAGCTTTGAATTGTATTTATGGATCTGGACAATTTTTATTCCAAAAGGAGTCCGTTTTTATGCATCCAATTGCTTCATTCTGCGCAATATTAATAAAGGCAATATAGCTGCTACCAAAATCAGACCAGAGGCTGCCACCCTCTCTGAACGTTTGGCCCCTCACCTGACTTGTAGAAATGGAAGTAGAAGCTCCTGCTGTCCACGGCCACCGAAACCGGCCCAATGGTTGCCACAGCCTGCTCCAGGGCCACCTCGTTCCCCACTGGGACCACCACGACGGATGTGCAGTTGGCCGCACGGTCCTGAGAGTTGTAACTGCACGTGGATCCATCCTGCAGAGAAGCGACAATCACCTGGAGGCGGCTGCAGAGCAGGGCGAGTGAGGAGAGTGGCTGGGGCAGATTCCCCAGGGCTGCATTTGCAAAGAGCCCCCAGGGCTCAGGGCGCCTGCCTGTTAGTCAGAAGGCTGGTGGTCCAAGCCCACCCCCGTAGGGCTGCGAGCAGGATTCTTGCATTGCAAGGGGTTGGACTAGAGGACCCCCGGGGTTCCTCCCAACTCTACAGTTCTATGAATGACAGAAACTCGATTTGGAAACTGAGCTCCACAAAAAAGGGAAACATTTCAATCTGCCCTCCTCAGAGGAAGGGCTGCAGTGCAGACTTTGCAAGGCTATGAAGGATCCACGAGAAGCGGACTTTACTGAGCAGTTTGCTGCCTCCAAACTAGGTGTAAAATTTGGTGTGGGCTTATGCATTTCCTTCTGCGCTGGTCCCAGTGGTGCAACCTGTGTTGACAGCGCCAGGGCAAGGCAAGGGTTGCACCCCCCAACCTCCTTGTGGGTGTCCTGCAGGGGGCAACAGGTGGCCCTCTCTGCATGCCGGAGGGGACCACTCCTCACAAGGTCGCCTGCCGGTCACCACATTCACCCTTTCGGCTCAGTGAGCTCCCAGTGGGAGCAGCGGTGGCGCTCCTTGGCAGGCTAATTGTGTTTTCCACCTGTGAAGGGTGTGTTAAGTATTATTATTATTATTATTATTATTATTATTATTATTATTATTATTAGTTTAATTAACATTGGAATAGAAAATAACTCTGTATGTGCTTGTATGTGTGCTGCTGAAAATTGGAAAATCCCATTGGGCTATAATAAAGCAAAGCAGATCCCTCTGATCATCAAGAAGGGGTCTGCGCATGGCGTATGCTCAGAAGTGGAGGGAAGATACCAACCAAGGAGGAATGGCAGACAAAGTTAATAGAATATATAGAAATGGCAAGATTGACAAATAGAATAAGGGTCAGGATAAAAAAAAAGTATTCAAAGATGGTTGGAAATGTTTTATAGACTATTTGGAAACATATTGAAAGCATGTCAAAAAGTTAACAGTAAGAGCAGTAAGAAATATTCAGATATAAAGTTGAGAAAAAATAAGATATAGGGGGAAACTAGAATATGTAGTGGAAAAGAAAGTAAAGTAGCAAAATGAACCATAGAAGGGGAGGTTCTTGTTTCATGTGTAAAAATGGAAATGATAAACAAAAATTGAAAAAATAAAATAAATGGGTTGATAATCAATTTAGGGTGTTCTCTGCTCTCTCATATCGTGTTTAACTTTAGATCATGTGAGAGGGTTATTAAATTGCAAACTGCCATTTTGAAGGGAGTTGCCTTTGAGTGTTTCTCTGGAAGCCACAAGAGAACAAAGGATGTGATAATGAGGTCTCTCCTGGAGAGAAAACAACTGTGGGCTAATGGAAGCTGTGGGGAGAGACAGACCTCTGATTTTTGGTCCAAACAGAACTTTCTTCAAAACAGAACATCAAACAATCAGTGTTACATTCAGATAGTTGTGTAATATCATGTGCACATCCAGCATAGGTTCAGCTTCTTATAAAAACGATATTAGGAGTAATTGAAGAAAGTTCTGTGAGTGAAGCTTTAGAGTCTGGACAATATATGGGTCTGGACAATTATTTTTCCAAGAGGAGTCAGTTTTTATTCACCCTATTGCTTCAAGCTGCAAAATATAAACATATGCAATAGGGCAGACTATAAATTAGAAGTAATGTGAAGGTGGCAAAGGTCTTGACCGCACAATTGTGCCCATGTGTGTGGCCCAGATCAGCGAGGCATGTGCACTGATTCCTCCTTCCGTCTTACTTTCTCCAAGTAGGGGTAGCTGGTCTCTGAGTTTATGCCGCCGTTTTCCCGCACATACTCGAAGGCCCGGGTGATGTACCCTCCATGGCACCCCTGGTTGCCCAGCTTCCAGGAACAATCAATGAGGTTCTGTTCGCTTAGCGGGATCAGCTTCCCTGTCCTGTTGAAGCGCAGCCCTTCAAGTGCTCCGGTGGCGCTGAATGCCCAGCAGGATCCGCAGTGGCCCTGTGGGAACAGCAAGAGGTGGTGAGGCAGAAGTAAATCAAACATGCATGGTGTGGGGGCAGACCCCACCTGGGTCCTGGGTCCCGTTCTGGGAGCCACAGTTTAAGAAGGATATTGACCAGCTGGAACATGTGCAGAGGAGGGCCTGGAAACCAGGCCTTATGTAGAAAGGTTGAAGGAGCTGGGTATGTTTAGCCTAGAGAAGAGGAGACTAAGGAGATATGAGAGCCATCTTCCAACATCTCAAGGGCTCTCACATGGATGAGGGAACAAGCTTGTTTTCTCCTGCTCTGGAGGGTAGGACCCAAACCAATGGTTTCAAGTTACAGAAAAGGAGACTCCAACTACCGTATTTTTCGCTCTAAAAGACGCACCAGACCATAGGACGCACCTAGTTTTTGGAGGAGGAAAACAAGGAAAAAAATACTCTGAATCCCAGAAGCCAGGACAGCAAGAGGGATTTGGCTTCTGGGATAGCCGCGCAACCTGCATTCGCTCCATAAGACGCACACACATTCCCCCTTACTTTTTTGGGGTGAAAAAGTGTGTCTTATAGAACGAAAAATACGGTAAACATCAGGAAGAACTTTCTGACAGAAAGAGCTCTTTGAGAGTGGAAAATGGACTGGCTAGGAAGGTGGTGGCCTCTCCTTCCTTGGAGGTTTCTGAGCAGAGGCTGGATGGCCACCTGCCAGCTTTAGCTAAGATTCCTGCATTGCAGGGGGTTGGACCCCAAGGGTCCCTTCCATTTCTGCAATTCTATGACAAAGCAAAAAGTTTTTCTCCCTCTCCCATAACACTAGAACTGGTGGACATGCAGTGAAGGCAGATGCTGGAAGATTCAGGACGGAGGGAGCAAAGCCCTTCAGAAGGACATTTTAAAGGGCAGAACTCCCTCCCAAGGGAGGCAGTGAGGGCCACCAACTTGGGTGGCTTTAAAAGAGGGCTGGTCAGATATGTGGAGGAGAAGGTCAGGGTGGCTTCTAGCTAGGATGGCCCTGCTCTTGTATTTGGGTCCTGCTTGCAGGTTTCCTGTTGGGGCATCAGGCTGAGTCCTGTGAGAACAGGATGCTGGGCTAGATGGACCTCCTTTTGTCTAACCCAGTGGTGTTCTCCATGTGCAGAACCTCAATGGCCAGGGGCAGTCCACCTCTGAAAGCCAGTTGCTGGGTATCACAAGTGGGCAGAGTGCTCTTGCCCTGTGGGAACCGGATGCTGGACTAGACGAGCCATTGGCCTGCTCCAACAGAGAGATGTTAAAAAAGGCCCCTCCAGGAATCCTGAGCTTGGCCATTAAGTCTCCCCAGGTGGTTCTGGGCTCACCTGGTTCTTGACTGGGGTGACATAACCTTTGGTGCGCCAGTCAACTTCCTTGGGGGTCTCCAGGCTGGCTGATTCTTGGAACAAGGCAACCTTCTTACCGGGTTGGTCGGCCAAGTCAGAACGGAAGCTGCTGAGCATCTCGTTAAACTCTTCGTCCGTCTGCGGGAGGAAACCATAGTTGCTGTGCTCTTACTTCTAGATTTTCAGAATGCCCACCCCTGCCAAGCTGCTCCTGAGGCTGCATCCCAGGGCAAAACCGGCATCCTCCCTCTCCACTCCCAGCAACTGGACTGCAGCCGTTCCCCCAAAGAGAACGCTCACAAATGCCGGCTCAACAAGGGCAAGGCAAGAGAGCTCCAGTTACCAAATCGCCCAGGTGGTTCATTGCCAGCTGGAAGCTCTTCCCCTCCTGGTTATGCTGCTCAATCCTCCGCCGGTTCTTCTCCCAGACGGCCCGACGAAAGGCCTCTTCCTCCTGCAATGGGAAGCTCAAGTACGGATCAGCGGTTCTCAAGCTTTTTTCTCTGGCCACACCAAAATTTTCTCATGCCACACTGACTTTTCTTGGTAAGAAATACATTAGAAAACAAAAAGAAACACCTCCTAGCAATGCTTGATTTGTAACACAGAACACGCTCTCAAGATGAACATTATTCCCAGAATGATCTACATTTTGAGAGGAATTCCACTTCATTTATCTAGTAAATATTTATGTAAAATGAACTCCTTAATTAGGAAATGCCTAAGGGGTTCTGCAACTCCAAGAATATCCTTACTAAAGAATGCAAGTTACCAACAAAAAAGGAGGATTTGGCACCCCAAATCTAGAACTGTACCATCAAGTTTATTTACTACCAAATGTTAGATGTTGGAAAGTAAATTCCAACAATGTTTTTCTGGCTTGGGTGTCACTTGAATATGCAGATATAACCCCATTAGTTGCATGGACAGCACTGGGATCAAAATATGTTATAATTCAAAATCCACCTGACAGAATTAAGTCAGTCAGGAAATTATGGAGCATGATGGCTAGTAAAAATAAATTTGATCAATTCTCCCACAATAAATTGATGCTATGGAAAATCCAACTTTAAAAATGGGGATGTATGTGTGCCAAGTATTAAATCTAAATGGCATTTCTGAGGGACAGAAATCACTTCAAATAACAGAAGTTTTATAGTATATTGTGTGTATTCCAAGCTGGAATCTGAAACATGCCAGAACATGGCCAGTACATCTCCATTCTGCTAAGAAACAAGCAGAAGATTCTCATCTGGAAGGTTTTTCAGAGGAGCTGGGAGCAGCTGGAGTGAGCGGGATTGAGATCAGCCCTGTTATCTTATCTCAATGATACACTGTTTGGACAGGCCAGAAGGAGTCTTATTCATTCTCTCTTCATTCTCTCTATTCTGCTCCGGTGTTTCTCTCTTGCAGCAATGAGTTCCACAGGCTTAGGCTGGAAGGTCAAACAAGACTGTAGTCAAGAAATTGAAGCAAACCAGCAGCCAGGAGGCCGAATCTTTATTGTTGCAACAAGACTCCAAACTTCAACACAGAAGATGCAGTGAGGGGTACTCTTTTAAAAGTTTCCCTAGATTACCCATAACACCTTGATGTCACACATATGTCATAAACATGTCATGAACTAGGAGTGGCATTTGGGCTGAAAACTGATGCCATGTCAATCAGAGATATTCTACATTCCTATCACTGGGTAAGCCGCAACCTCCGACTCCCCAGGCCAAGTCAAATACCCCCCTTTGTCTCTCCCAGTATCCCAGTACACTGAAACCAGTTGGACATTGTTCTCTGAATGGTTTTGAGTGGCAATCCTGAGTCAGGATGATGAGACTTAACCCCTGGGCAGTATGGCTGGTGAGCGTGTGACCACGCACTTCAGGGATTATGGCCTCGCTTCAGGTTCCCTCCTCTGATGGCCATCTTCTCCCTGAGTAAAGCAACGCTGGAAGGATGAAAATCCACCACGGGAATAATTTGATATGAATTTCTTTCTTTTTAAAAAATATTGTTTATTATGAATGTAATAAAAATCATACAACTAATCATACATAAATAAGAATAAAAGTGTGCCCCCTCCACTGAGACCACAATACCTGCTCAGCTTCCCAAAATCTCAACACCTCCTGTGATGGTCCAACCCTTTTCTGTTTTAATAATACAAACTCCAAAACCACCCTCCATATCTTTGCAAAATCATTGCTCCCCGTCTTACCCTAATGGTACATGTCAATTTGTCATTAATAGCTATATCCCAAAGCTCTTTGTACCATTCTTCCATTTTATATTCTCCTTGCCCCTTCCACTTCCCAGCTATAATGATTTGTGCGGCTGTCAAAATATTTCTGAGCAAGTCCTTCCTAGCCTCATCGTAAATTGATAATAGTGCTACCTCTGGACTTTGGATCATCATTAACCCCGTAATTTCTCCTATCTCCTTAAACACCCTTTGCCATTATTACTATTTTTTACATATTTACACCCCCACCACATGTGAACATAATTCCCTGTTTCCTGGCATCCTCACCAATATAATGCCAAATATCCCTTGCTTATTTGATTTAATCTCACTGGTGTTAAATACCATCTCCAAACTAAGTTATAACAATTTTCTTTTATTTTTATAGACAACATTTTCAACGTACGTTTCTCTCATATTTTCCCCTAGCTTTGATAATCTATCTGCCTTGTTGTTGCCTTTTCTCACACCTCTTTTAATTGATCTTTTTGATACTCCATTTCTTCTAATATTTTATAAATTTCACTGATTCCCCCTTTTATAAATGTATTTTCTTCTTTATCTCGGCAAATAAATTTAGGACAAAAATAAAAAGCAAGGGGGAAAAAATAATGCTTTTATATAATAATAATAATAATTTATTATTTATACCCTGCCCATCTGGCTGGGTTTCCCCAGCCACTCTGGACGGCTTCCAACAAAACACTAAAATAAAATAACCTATTAAACATTAAAAGCTTCCCTAAACAGGGCTGCCTTCAGATGTCTTCTAAAAGTCTGGTAGTTATTTTTCTCTTTGACATCTGATGGGAGGGCGTTCCACAGGGCGGGTGCCACCACCAAGAAGGCCCTCTGCCTGGTTCCCTGTAACTTGGCTTCTCGCAGTGAGGGAACCGCCAGAAGGCCCTTGGCAATGGACCTCAGTATTATTTTTATTCTACTAAAAGGCCACCACTATTATATGTATTTATACCTCTCACCTTCCTCCAAAGGGGCCCATTTGGTGCTGCCTGCCTCTGAATTGCTCCTTTCCCAGCTTGTCATTATAAGACTCTCCATGCCCAGGAGCGTCTACCTCTGAATAGCAGCTGCTGGGGGCACAGAAGGGCTGAGGCCCAGATGTCCATCATTAGAACGAAATGCTGAATTTAGAGGGAACCTTCGTCTAATCCAACAAAGCAAATACGTATTTATAAGTAACCAGGCACTTTGTATGTGCACAGAGTGTCTTTGCCTTTAGGTCCCTTGAAGAAAAGTTGGATTTCCCAAGGGAAATTTCTCCCTGCAATAATCAGCAGTGCTAGTACTTCGGGGGAATTGACATCTTGTCATGGTAAACTCACCTTGAGGTATTGCTTGGCGTGAACTTCCTTCCATCCTTTCCATTCTCCTTCCAGGGCCCAATCCAGTGCACTGGCGGATGTTCCCAGGAGCGCCAGCAAGATCAGAGGGACTCTTGAAACCGGAGACATGCCTTAGTCTGCAAGAGATGGGCAAACAGAACCATCGTCAGGCATTGGAAGGGATGAGGATTGGGGCCAAAGCCTCTGGACGATAATGGAGACCTGGCGAGTGGGGATCTTGCCCAGCAGGTGCCCCCCCAGCCCTGCAATGGCCCAGACCAGAGACCTTGGGGAGAGGGGGCAGAGCAGGTCAGGCCCCCAGAGCATCTCTGCAATCATTTGCAGCCAGCACCTGCCAGGCTGAAGTTTGGAAGCAGCAGGTGTACAGTGGTACCTCAGTTTAAGAACAGTCCAATTTAAGAACGATTCAGTTTACAAACTCCACAAAACCGGAAATAGTGTCCCAGTTTGCGAACTTTACCTCGGTCTAAGAACGGAATCCAAATGGTGGAAGGGCACCGGGGGCAGGAGGCCTCACTAAGGAAAGCGCACCTCGGTTTAAGAACGGACTTCCGAAATGGATTAAGTTTGTAAACCAAGGTACAGTGGTGCCTCAGGTTGCAGACTCCGCTAACCCAGAAATAGTGCTTCAGGTTAAGAACTTTGCTTCAGGATGAGAACAGAAATCATGTCCTGGCGGTGCGGCGGCAGCAGGAGGCCCCATTAGCTAAAGTGGTGCTCAGGTTAAGAACAGTTTCAGGTTAAGAACAGTTTCAGGTTATGTACGGACCTCTGGAACGAATTAAGTACTTAACCCGAGGTACCACTGTATATATATATTAGTTTGGTGAGAGGATTTAGTCAGCATGATGCCCTTCTAATTCCTCCTCAGCAAAGAGAAAATCTAACAGATTTCCATTGTTGAACTAGCCAGGCAAGTTTCTTCTTAATGGTCACAGTTGCCACCTAAGGACCCCTGTGATGGTGCCTCTGGGCAAATAAACGGGCCTTGCCCCCCCTCCCCAGTTGTGTGAGAGCTGAACTGGAAGCAGGCTGCAGGCCAAAGCGAGAGAGACCGAGCCATGCTGGACTTCTGCTGGATTCCAGGGCTGGGTCGGGAGAAGGGGGATGCAAGACTCAATGTGAAGTCAGCTTTTTATTCAGAAAAGGGAAAACACAGCAGAGTTCGCCTAGGCTCACTGGCCCTAGTCGAAGACTCTGCCTCTGGACTCCTCCCAAGCAGATGCAAGCTATGGTGAGAAGGAGGGATCCCCCTCTGGGCTTCTCTGGCCTGCTGCTCAGCAACCGGCAAGACCCTTCGTGATCTGAGTGTCAGCGGAGGCTGGCTGGCTGAAGAGGGACCGTCCCGCTGCTGTGAAACTGAGGCAGCGCCTGGCTCTCCAGTGTCCCTCATTCGAAGGAAACCAACCCTGGGTAAGCACCGGGGACCCCTGAAATATCTCTCTGCTCAGAGATTGGGGCGACATGCATCTGTCTGTCTGTCTATCTATCTATCTATCTACCTATTGTTATGAGTTTGTAGGTGACAGACCTCTCTAATCCCTGGATCCAGCATGTGTTAAAATATAAGCCAGGCTACCTCCCTGATGGGCCATTAAGAGATCAAAGGAAAGAGGGCTCTGTGCAATATGGCAGATCATAGGATCATAGAGTTGGAAGGGACCCCATGAGTCACCTAGTCTAACCTGCAATGCATGAATCACAACTAAACTTGCAAATAGTGAGAAGGACAAAAGCCAGAGTTTGGGAGCAGTTATTGGAACTAGAAGCTGGAGACAGAAGCAGCAGGCTGGGAAGGCAGAGAGAGAGAGAGAGAGAGAGCCATAGCTGATTTCCGCTGGGGTCCAAGGCTGCGGCTATGGGAGAAACAAGACCCCTTTGGGGTGTTGATGCTGCGAACCTAAGCACCCCATAAAAATGCACCCAGAGCCCCAGCCCCACAGGCCACCCCTGCTGGGATCCAGATAGACTGCCTCTGGTCTGGGAGGTTCCATAAGAACATAAGAAGAGCCTTGGCTGCTGGATCAAGCCAATGGCACACGGTCCAGCCTTCTGTTCTCCCAGGGGCCAGCCAGGTGCCTGGGGGAAACCTGCAAGCAGGATCTGAGCGCAAGAGCCGCCCCCCCCCCCCCAGCCCCTGGCATTCAGAAGCATTTCCCTCTCTATGGAAGCAGAGCAGAGCCATCCTGGCCGGCAGGCACCAATCACATGACCCCTCCATGATTTTTTCACAAAATTCCACAATTTATCCAATCCTCTTTTATCACTGTCTCCTGCAGGAGTGAGTTGCATAGTTTAACTATGTGCTGCATCAAGAAGCCAGCAGCTGAAGTGCAAGCAAATGATGTTCTCACCTTCCCCTTGCGAAACCAGCTCTCCTGCGCCATCTCCCCCCCCCCCCCAGCCTGCCCACCCGGCTCACTGCAGAGACTTATCTTGTCCTCTGCAGCAGCGGATGTGGACTAGCGGTTTTGCAAAACCCATTGCTTGAGCAAGATAAGGCAGAAGGGGGAAACCAAAGCTGCAGAGGACACTTCCTTAGAGCCTTTGAAAACTTTTCTATATTCTGGTTATTCTTCATGCTGAACCTTCAGCTAACGCTGGAACTATTTGTGTATTTATGTGCATCATTCAAGTTACTTTTGCACATTCCCCCCCCCCCCCCCGCATGAAATGGATCTTTCAGTGTGGTAGAAGGTATTCTCCAGAACTCCTTTCCTATTGATATTTAGGCAGGCATCTTCACTGAGTTGTTTCATTGAGTTTCCTCAACCAGAACCAGGGCCTTTTCAACACTGGTGGAACGTTCTGTCCCATGAGACCAGGGCCCTGTGGGATCTGATTTCTTTCCGCAGGGCCTGTAAGACAGAGTTGTTCTGCCTGGCCTTTGGTTTGGAATCAACTTGATCCCCTCCCCCCCTTTCTTTTCCCCTTTTCCCCTCTGTGATGGAACTCCTATTTGGGGACTTCCCTGGCTTTTTCTGGTCCACGTAGGACCAGTCTGGATAGTTGGCCTTGGTGAAGATTTGACGTTTTCTCCTCCCAAACAGTTTTTGATCTGGGCTTCCACTGAAATGAGGCTGCATTTTAAGTTGTACTTTAATCCTGTTTTTAAGTTGTATTTTAATCAATTGTTTTTATACCTGATGTTAGCCACCCTAAGCCCGGTCTTGGCAGGGGAAGGTGGGGTATAAATAAAAAATTATTATTATTATTATTATTATTATTAATTATTTATTTTGATGCCTGCTAAGAATTTCTTCACCAGATACATCACACCTACATCACAAAAAAGGCGGTCCAAAACAGAAATTTTGAATGTTGTTTTTTTCCTGTCCTTGTTTATCTCCTGTCTGGCAGGTTCCTTGATTGGATTTCCTGGGTAGCCTGGCCAGTCTTTTGTAATGATAAATACTTAGTTCCTGGGCCAGGTCACAGGCTCACACCCTATTCAAACACAGACATACCCTTAAGACAGGATTTGTGAAGGAAAAGACAATGGGGAGGCTTTCCCATTTTCCTTTGACCTTGCAGAGAAAACATTTGGTCAGTTTGGGACAGTTTGGGAATCAAAATGGTTCCAGGTTGGTCTTCCTGTGCTGATCTATGTATATGCTTGGTTGGTACACTTATGAACATTTAACATATATCTAAGACCTCAAAATTCCTATCACAGAACATAGGAAGCTTCCTCAGTTCGCATTTAATGGCAGCCCTTCCTAACTTGTGCATTGGAAAACCACACACAAATTGGAGCACAACCACCACAGAACTGCAGGGCTGGAAGCTCTGCTTAAATACCTCCAAGCTCTGCTTAAATACCTCCAAGGAAGGAGAGTCCACAAGAAGAAGAAGACTGGGCACGCAGCTTGCAACATTCAGGAGTTGACTGCAAATCATTGCAAGGATTCCTGCAGGGGGGGGGGTTGTGTCCTCTTCCCCTCTCCCAATTCACCTCTTTCTCCAGGGCTTAGTGGTGGGAGAGAATAGAACGGGGCTGGGCTTGAGAGGAGAGAGCTGCATGCTCATGCACGCCTGGCACGGCGCCCACCCAGGTAATATCACGGGGGCGGCCACTCAGTCTCAGGTTTGGGTCCTGAAATCTCAGGGTCTGGGATGCTCCTGCCCTGGGAATCCTAGTTCCACACAATGTAGGAATCAGGCCTTTGTGGCCCCAACTCTTGGAAGCTCCCTCATGTTAGATATTGGACAGGCACCATTTCAGTTGCCTTTTCAGCACCTGTGGAACAAGACTTCCAAACAGATTTAAGTTCTCTGCTGTTAGATTCTTTTTAAAATCATAGATTCTTTTTAAAATCAAGTGTATCAAAAGCCACACACAGAAAGTGGCCTCTAGAATCATAGAACTGTAGAGCTAAAAGGGACCATGAGGTTAATAATCCAACCCCCTGCAACGCAGGAATCTTTTGCCTAAGGTTGAACCAACTACCCTGAGATGAAGAGTTTCATGCTCTACCGGCTAAGCTCTCCACAGGTCCATTCGCTCACCACTAAACCCCCCCCCCCCATTTCAGTAGCCTGAAACACACAGGAAGTGGCTCGCTAGCTTCCTAAGGATGCAAAGAATAGGACAAGGGAACAGGCTGTCTCAGGAGATGGTGGCCTTGCCTTTGCTGAAGAGGCAGGCCAGCCAGCCATCATTCATGGATGCTGCAGGTTGTGGGGAGGGCTAGGCACATTTACAAAGCACACCCCTTGACAGAGCCTCTTGCCTACAACAGAATAGTTCTTTCAAGTCTAATTTCAGCCCTGATCTGGCCCTTTGGCCCTCCAGATGTCACTGAAGGGTGCTGTAGTTCGGTGGCAGCTGGAGTGCAAATGACCTCTGAGCCTAGGGCAGCAGGTCAGACTATTCATTGATCTAGCCCAGGACTGTTAGCTCTGGCTGGCAGCAGCTTAGTAGGATCTCAAGCAGAGAGGTGTTCTTTCCTTAAGAAGAGCCAGCTGGGCCAGGCCAATGCCCCCTGTCACCCACCATCCTGTCCTCACAGTGGCCCAACAGATGCAGAGCCCAAGAGCAGGAGTTGTGTGCAATAGCAAGTCTCCCCATTTGTGATTCCTAGAAACGGATATTCAGAGGCATTTACGGCCTCTGAGGCAGAACCTTCACCCTCTCTTTCTCACGGGAGATGCCTGGGGATTGAATGAATAAGCTCTGGTTCCAATCTCTATACAATACAGGAACTTAGGAAGATGCCCACCTCCCAAAACAGGGACCCAGGTCTTTCCCACCACCTGCTCTTCAGTCTGTTTTAGCTGGCAGTGCCAGCAGGCATTAAACCTGCAAATTCCTGCATGCAAAGCAGCCCCTGCCATCGATTCCCACACAGACAGGCAGACACAACCTACCTCTCTGTGCAGCAGGGCGGGTTGGGGGGAAATAAACTGCCTGTTGGTTTGCCTCACTCTGTGAGAGGAAAACCAACCGTGACACTTATGCAGATAGTGTGCCCTAAAAAGCACAACTTCCTTTTGTTCACACACACACACACACACACACACACTGGTCTGCCTGCTTGCACAAGTCAGGTTGCTGGAAGAACAGGCCGGAAACAAAAAGCCATGTTTTTGTTTTTTAATATAGTGTTATTAATTTCCAATACATAACAATTACAAAAAGGAGAAAAATACAAAAACAAAATCCCAACTCTTTTCCTCTCCAGGACGGATCAATCTAGTTAAGTTTGCAAAAGTCAAATCTGTGGTTTCGGTAGTTGCCATTCTTCAAGATTATTAGTGAAGTATTTTATAAAAGGATGCCATAATTCAGCAAAATGTATGCAGTATCTTTGTTAATTTTTCTGATACAGCAACAGACCATACATTCTGCTTCCAACAAAGAGATACACAGATTTTCCAATCTTCCAGTTCTGTGTCACTAGTTGGCATGCCACTACTAAAAGAAAAGTAATTAGTTCTTTATAACATAGGTCAGATTGCCCTTCTTTAAAAATAGTTAACAATCATAAACTTGGGGTCCATTCCACATGTTGACCTGTACTATAGCTTATTTCTGCAAATTCCCTCTGCTAGAAGGGCCATGTTGCAGGTCAATTTTGCGGCTTCCTAAGAAATCCAGACTTAAAAGTTTCTCACCCTTATGGAAGTCTGTGGACAATGCCTGCTTAGAATTGTGGATGCACGAGTTGTTGGTAAATGACCAAACTTTGTACCAAGCTACAAAAATTGCACCACTTCCTGGAATCATAGACTTACAGAGGTAGAAGCGATCCTGAAGGTCAACCCTCTGCAATGTAGGAACCACAGCTAAGGAATCCTTTGCAGATGGCCACCCAACCACTGCTTAGAAACCTCCAAGGACAGAGAGTCCAGCACCTTCTGAGAGAGTCTGCTCCACTCTCGAACAGCTCTTGCCATCAGATAGTTCTTCCATTTAGAATCTCCTTTCACAGAATCATAGAATCAGAGTTGGAAGAGACCAGGAAGGTCATCTAGGGTGGTACATAATAACGAATTGGAAGAGACCCAGGCATCATCCAGACTGACTCCCCCCACAAAACTCGTAACCTCATTAAGGGCCCGAGTTGCAGAAGTGTCATTTATTATAGGAAGATGTCTATCCTATCTTCTCTCAGTCTCCTCTTTTCCAGGCTAAACAGATGCAGCTCCTTCAACTGTTCCTCATAAGGCCTGGTTTCCAGACCCTTGATCATCTTGGTCACCCTCCTCTGCACATGTTCCAGCTTGTAAACCATCCTCTTAAATTGTGGTGCCCAGAACTGGACACAGGACTCCAGGTGTGGTCTCACCAGGGCAGAATAGACCATGACTTCCCTTGACCTGGACACTAGACTTCTGTGGATGCAGCCTAGAATAGCATTTGGGTCTTCATGCTGCTGCATCTCACTGTTGACTCATGTTAAACGTGTGGTCTACTAAGACCCCTAGATCCTTTTTACATGTCCTACCGGCAAGCCTGGTGTCCCCCATGCTATATTTTTGCAGCTGGTTATTCCTGCCTAAGCGCAGAATCTGACGTTTGTCCCTATTGAAAGTCACTTTGCTAATTTGGGCCCAGTTCTCTGATCCGTTAATAATAATAATAATTTTTATTTATACCCTGCCCTCCCCAGCCAAGGCTGGGCTCAGGGAGGCTAACAAGCAATAATAAAAACAAGCTGAATGAATACAACTTAAAAACAAGATTAAAATACAACATTAAAATATTGAAACATTAAAATATTAAAATGCAGCCTCATCACAGGAGGAGAAAGAAAAAAGAAAGAGGGGGAGGGAATCAAATTGGCTCCAAGCCAAGAGCCGGTTATCCCAGTCCTCGACAAGGCCATCTAATGAGTCGCCAGGAGGAGCAGGGTCCCGCGAGGCCTGACGGAATTTATCAAGATCCATCAGTCTTCGCGGGCCAGCCCAAATAGGCTTGCCACCCATCTTCTATGGGATAAAGAGCTGTTGGACGTCTTTAAATATTGTGCTCTAGGCTCTACTTTCCTTATATTTTGGGTAGAGATCTCAGCCTTTATACTCATTAGCCTCTTCTTCAGGTCTTGTAATTCTAGGCTTACAGAATTATTTTCTTCCTACGGGCAGTTAGTGTTTCTAGTGTTGAGCTTGGTTTCCCTTATCCGCATTAGCTTTGACTCTATGCAAGGGACCAATTGCCTCGTTTCGTCTTTAAACACCCTCACTGGGCGGAGAGAGTGGAACCATGATAGAGTATCCTTTATCTCCATGAGTCGAGATGGGAGGGCTGATGACCTAAAGGTCATAAATAGGTGTGTGATGTTTCTCAAGGTAGGCAGGAAGTGGAAATTTTCTAGATCTACATTTCAGTAATGGTAATTCAGGAGCTGAGACAAGGACGTAGTAATTTGTCTGCGGTTCATCTACCTATGATGGTATTGGTGAATCTCAAGCATTATCTGGTTCGTTTGCAAGACTTGACAGGACCTCAATTCATCCCTAGTTTGAGTTGGTGAGTTGTTAACAAAGTCATTTCTTATCATCCTTTTAAGCCCTTGGGCATTTAAAGGGGAGGAACTAGTATCCAATTGTTTCTCAATGTTAACTATTTTGGTGAGGATTTCATTCAGTCTTTGGAGAACCAGAACCATAGTTTCTGTAGACAACATGCAAATCTCTTGGTAGGGGTGCGTATCCGGAATCGGTTGAAAGCAGGCTCCTCTGATATCTTGTTCTAGAGGCCTGGGTGGGTTGGCGTTAGGAGTGGGAGAGCCAGTGTGGTGTAGTGCTTAAGAGCGGTGGACTCGTAATCTGGGGAACCGGGTTCGTGTCTCCGCTCCTCCACATGCAGCTGCTGGGTGACCTTGGGCCAGTCACACTTCCTTGAAGTCTCTCAGCCCCACTCATCTCACAGAGTGTTTGTTGTGGGGGAGGAAGGGAAAGGAGAATGTGAGCCGCTTTGAGACTCCTTAAAGGGAGTGAAAGGCGGGATATCAAATCCAAACTCTTCTTCTTCTTCTTCTCCTGCTCTTGCCCTCTTGGACGGATTAGCTTTTTCTGGGAGGGGGGGGTCGGGTCATAGTCATCCTCCTTAAAGGGGGGTGAGGTTCCCCCAACGTTGTTACTCACTGTTTGTTCTATTTGCTCCGTTTTCTCGGCTTCCTCAACCCGCTCTGTTTCTGAGCCAGGGAAGATGGCATTGGCTCTCTGCTGATTCTTTGTTTTAGAGGAATTGTGAGTCCCAATTGTGCTCTTCTGGCTCTTTGCACCTCGTTTTCTCCTTCCGGCAGGCATTCCAATAATTAACAAAGCTATATCAGTCGAGGGCTGTCTGTTTATTTTATCAGCAGACGAAACCTGCACTTGTTCAGTAGGGCTGTTATCTAACCTCCTTAGCGTTCCTCATTGCACCGGTCAAGTTGAGCCATAAAAGCCGTAAAACAAACCTTTCGTTTTCTGCAGGAAGGGAATGCTTCTGTAGTGAGGAGCAGTCCTTGCAAGGGGTACCTTGCAATTCAAAGTGGTGCAACCCACACAAACAATCTTTTTCTTCTCTCCCCCCTCACCTCAAGAAAAGGCCTCAGGTTGTGTGAAGGTCAGTAATTAAGCCTCTTCAATGCTTCCTTGCCTGGTCTGAGGAGAGACAGTTGGAGGTCTAGGCCTCAAATCTGTCAGGTTTCGGCCACTTCAACCTTCCTGGCCTAAAAGAGCAGGTTTTAGCAGGGAAAGCCCCCCCCCCCAACACACTCAGAGACGGAGACTTAAAGCACAGACCTGGAAAGAACAGGGCAAAATTTAAGTGTGGATAAGCCCTTAGATTTAAAAAAGAAGGAAATGTACCTCTCTCCTGACGCTCAACCCTTCCGATGTACACCCAAATGTTAAGGCAGGCATAGGCAAACTCGGCCCTCCAGTTGTTTTGGGACTACAACTCCCATCATCCCTAGCTAAGAGGACCAGTGGTCAGGGATGGATCCCGATTCTGTTTGCTGCTACCCTTCCCAATTTGGTGCCACCTGCAAATTTGATGAGCGTCCCATCAATTCCTCCATCCTTAGTCATTTATAAAGACGTTGAACAACAACGGACCCAGGACAGAACCCGACAGCAGCCCACTTGTCACTTTTTTCCAGGATGACGAGGAACCATTTATAAGCCCTCTTTGGGCTCATTCAGTCAACCATCTACAAATCCACCTCACAGTTACCCCATCCAGAAACTTCATATTAAACCCCTTTGAGTATTTCTTACAATCATATGGTATATAAATTTTATGAAATGAATGAATAAATGAATAAAATTATACCAGTAAAAGCAAAACTCAGCCAAGAATGTTTCTCTGTGCATCTCCTCAGATGTCAGACCCACTGAGTTAAAGTGTGTGGAGATTATTATTTATCAAATGCCTGGCTGGAGGGAAAGTGTTTGGGCAAGTGTTTGCCAAGGTGCCAGGCCTGTGGAAGCAGCAGGAACACTTTGTAAGGGGGCAAGAGGCAGGGGCAGCCTAGGATGCTTCACGGTTTGAGGCAAAGCAGGAAATTTCGCCCTGCCTTCTCCTCTTCAGCCTCTCTTGCAGCCTCCACATCCTCACCCCAATAATCATTAGGTATTGTTTCTATAATGGTGGGAGTTTAGTAAGCGCTCCGCTGATTTCCATTGTTGAAGGTTTGAGGAGCATGCCACTCAGGGCTTATTCATACGCATGCTTTATCAGCAACTGTTGGGTTAATGGATTTTTATTTGCCATTCTAATTCCGTTTTTCATTACTAAATGGGGGGGGGGCAATAGAGCAGATGGTAAGGCGTTATAGTGGGTCAAAGGGAAAGTTCCGTTATATTTGGAAAAATCCCTAAAATATAAAGAGAAGAAGCTAAAACAAAGTTTTTGCCACAGTGTCCCTAAGCTCCAACTTCTGAAAAGGATAGGACGACTGTGACCTACTAGCAGCATCAAGGCCAACATAGCTCATCACCAGTTATCTAGTGGGAATCAGGCAGTGATAAAGCAGTGCAGGCTAAACATTGGACCCAGTAGCCTTGTGGCCATTGCAGGTTTTCTACAGTTATTTTCATCTTTCATGATTCATGTAAAAGGAAGAGAGCTATGTGGAGCTGTAATCCAAAGACAACTACTTGTATTTCATCACTGCAGTGATGGCCATTGTCAACACTGAATCCGATGCCATCTTAAGTTCTTGTTGTCAGGTGCTCCTTTGTATTCAGATCAGGCCTCAGCAGAATAACGTAGCACTTGGGGAGGAAGATGCAGCCCAGGAGCCCCGCACTGGAGGCCAACACAGAGAAGATCTGCACGGTCCCCATGTACTTGCCCTTGGTGCTCAGGTAGGTGGGCACAAAGGACACCCAAACACTGCAGAAGACCAGCATGCTGAAGGTGATCAGCTTGGCTTCGTTGAAGGAGCCGGGCAGCTTCCTGGCTAGGAAAGCCACCGTGAAGCAGATGGCAGCCAGAGCCCAGGTAGCCGAGGGCAACGTAGAACATGGCCACAGACCCTTCGTTGCATTGCAGGATGATCTCTTCCAGCTGGGAGCGCATGTCGGGCTCTGGGAATGGGGGAGAAGAGCCCAGCCAGATGGTGCAGACGAGAACTTGCCCCCCGCTGAGAGACTTCAGAGACTTCAGTGTGACTAGCCCAAGGTCTCCCAGCAGCTGCATGGGGAGGAGAGGGGAAGCGAACCCGGTTCACCAGATTACGAGTCCACTGCTCTTAACCACTACACCACACTGGCCTCTCTGACAGGGAAGCTGCAATGCCCAGGATCATTTGGGGGACGTCATGTGCTTTAACTGCTCACTGGATGCACTTTAAATCATAGCATCCTAGAACTGTAGAGTTGTGAGGGACCCCAAGGGTCATCTAGTCCAACCCCCTGCAATGCAGGAATCTCAACTCAAGAACCCATGGCATGTGGCCATCTAAGCTCTGCTGAAAAACCTCCAAGGAAGGAGAGTCGACCGCCTTCCGAGGGATTTCCTCCCACTGTCAAGCAGCTCTTGCTGCCAGAAAGTTCTTCCTGGAGTCGGAGTCTCCTTTCTGGTCACTTGAAGGCTTCAGGTCCTGAGGGCCTCTGGAGCAGGAGAATTATTATTATTTATACCCCGCCCTCCCCAGCCAAGGCCGGGCTCAGAGCGGCTTACAAGCAATAATAAAAACAAGTTGAATGATTACAACTTAAAAACAAAATTAAAATACAACATTAAAATATTGAAACATTGAAATATTAAAATGTAGCCTCATCGCAGGAGGAGAAGGAAAGGAAAAAAGAAAGAGAGGGAGGGAGGGAATCAAATTGTCTCTAAGCCAAAGGCCAGGCGGAACAACTCTGTCTTACAGGCCCTGCGGAAAGAAATCAGATCCTGCATAGCCCTGGTCTCATGAGGCAGAGCGTTCCACCGGGCCGGAGCCAGAGTTGAAAAGGCCCTGGCTCTGGTTGAAGCCAAGACAAGCTTCCTCCCTGGGATGCCCTTGAGATATTGACAGGGCTCTCATATCCATGTCCGGAGGGACAGGGAGCAAAACATCTCTCTCTCCCCTTTCTCCACCCCATGCAGAATGGCAAGGGGTCTGTGCATCCGGCTGGGAAGAAGGTGGTGGGAGTGTGGAGCCCAGCCAGGAGCTGGCTGTGGGCAGGATCCTTGCACTGCTGGGGGTTGGACTAGATGCCCCTTGGCACCCCTTCCAACTCTGCCATGCTCTGATTCTCTCGAGCAGCTGAAGGAACGGGCGGGGGAGCAAGATGCAGATGAAGGGGAGGCACAACCACACCCCCCATCAGCCCCCTCTGGCCTGACCCACGGTGGCCTCATCCCAGCACACTTTGACCCCCCTGGTTTTATTTTTCTTCATTCAGCTGCCGGACAACCCAGCAGCCTGGCCCCTGTTTGCCAGCTGATGTCACAAAGTGCTGCTTTGCAAGCAAGCCTTATAATGCCCTGCAAGGGGGATGCCTGTCAGAGGACAGTGAGACTTGGTAGAGAAAGATGGATTCTCCAGGTAGGAGGCCTAGAGGAGATGAGTGGCAATATTATTATTGTGAGGTGATGCTATTACAATTCCAAAGGGAATGCCAAGCAGGGAGGGAGGGGGAAGAGAGAGAGTGGAATTCTGGTGGAGACGGAAGCTGGAAGGAGGCTTGGAAAGGGAGTTTGAAGGGGGGTCAGGTGAGAGTCGGTTGAGAGCGGTGGGCTCTAGAAGGGGGCCCGAGGGGGGGGGCTGAAGCTGAGCTGGACACAGCCGCCATTGCTCTGAGCACCACAGCCGCCATCGCTCTGAGCATGTGGCTGTTCAGTGCCGGAAGTAGGGGGTCTCTCCCAACTTGGCGGCAAGAGGATTCCATTAATTCAGGTGAGCCATGGAGCCAGGGCTTGGCTTGTACAGAAATGGTACCTCAGGTTAAGAACTTTGTTCCAGGTTGAGGACAGAAATTGCGCAGCGGTAGAGTGGCGGCAGTGGGAGGCCCCATTAGCTAAAGTGGTACCTCAGGTTAAGAACAGTTTTAGGTTAAGAACGGACCTCCAGAGCGAGTTCTTAACCTGAGGTACCACTGCACTGCTAAAGCCCAGATGCCTCACATCCCACCTCCAAGCTTCACAGAACTGGGCTATTTGCCAGGAGGTGATGGGACCAGTGGCCATGATCTTAGTTTTTTTGATGTTGAGCTTCAGACCATATTTTGCGCTCTCCTCTTTCACCTTCATTAAAAGGTTCTTTAATTCCTCCTCACTTTCTGCCATCAAGGTTGTGTCATCTGCATATCTCTGGTCTCTGGTTCCTCTGCCCCTTCGAAATCCAGCTTGCACTTCTGGGAGTTCTCGGTCCACATACTGCTTAAGCCTGCCTTGTAGAATTTTAAGCATAACCTTGCTAGGGTGTGAAATGAGTGCAACTGTGCGGTAGTTGGAGCATTCTTTGGCACTGCCCTTCTTTGGGATTGGGATGTAGACTGATCTTCTCCAATCCTCTGGCCACTGCTGAGTTTTCCAAACTTGCTGACATATTGAGTGTAGCACCTTAACAGCAGCATCTTTTAAAATTTTAAATAGTTCAGCTGGAATACCATCACTTCCACTGGCCTTGTTATTTGCAGTGCTTTCTAAGGCCCATTTGACTTCACTCTCCAGGATGTCTGGCTCAAGGTCAGGAACCACACTACCTGGGGTGTACGAGACAGCCATATCTTTCTGGTATAATTCCTCTGTGTATTCTTGCCACCTCTTCTTGATGTCTTCTGCTTCTGTTAGGTCCTTACCACTTTTGTCCTTTATTATGGTAATCTTTAAACGAAATGTTCCTTTCATATCTCCAATTTTCTTGAACAGATCTCTGGTTTTTCCCATTCTATTGTTTTCCTCTATTTCTTTGCATTGCTCATTCAAGAAGGCCCTCTTAAGAAAGAAATGGTAGGATGTGGGCGATTTGGAGTATTCAGGAAAGGCGCCTAGCAGGCTTCAGCTTGCATGGGGCAGGAGCCTGGTGAAATTACTTCCAGATTATTTCTTTGCGCCATCGCTGCATATGACCCTTCATCGGAAGGTCCTGCCCCGAGGGGCTTACAATCTTTAATAGGACACAGGGAGGGAACAGGGAAAGGTTGAGGTCCAGGCTGGATCCTGAGTCCAGGTCTCTGAATTTAGACTGTGGGATTCCCAGACATTTTCCCACCTGTAACCTCTTCCTCTGTTTTTTATTTTCCTTTCTGTCTCCTAGGACAAAAAAGGCTCCTGAGACACCAAACCATGAAGGAGGCTGGAGTGAATCAACCATTGGAGTTTGTGGCAATTCCATGGGGAATCCATTCCCCACATGTGCAGGGAGGTCATGGCGCTGACCTGAGTGAAGCAGGGCTGGGTTGGGGGGTTGCAGTCCCGTCTCGCCCCAGCCCCTTGCTCCCCTCCTTCCAAGCCAGGGGTCAGGTGCCCAGGCAGGAGCAGGCTGGCAGCTTGTGGTGACGTGGGCATGGGCAGCCTGGCAGGGGTGCTTGTTCTGCCCCCCTAGAGAGTACAATGTCCTTCTTCCTTTGCAGGGCCGTGGTTTGGGGAACCAGCAGCAGCCCAGCGGTGCAGGGAAACCCAGCAAAATCCGGAGGTATGTTGTGACCTTGTGTGGCAGGGGAAGTGTTTCCCAGTGATCTTGGGGGTGGAGGAGGAAGTCCTGATTTAGAGATCCCTGTAGTTTTATGGAGAGGGTTTCTCTGTGGACCAGGCAGGGCCCTAGCTAGGGGGTGGTGAGATGGGCCCCCGCCAGGGCCGCAGGGGAGGGGTGGGGCACAAAATTGCCTCAAAAAGATGTCCAGAAAAATGGGGGGATAAAAGACAGGGTAGGACCACAACCAGCAACTGGAATACAGTGGTGCCTCGCAAGACGAAATTAATCCGTTCCGCGGGTCTCTTTGTCTAGCGGGTTTTTTTTCTTGCGAAGCAACCCGCTTAGCGGATTAGCGCTATTAGCGGTTTAGCGGCTATTAAAGGCTTAGCGGCTTAGCGGCTAAAAGGCTATTAGCGGTTTAGCGGCTTAGAAAAAGGCACCACAAGCTAAGAAGGATGTTGACAAGCTGGAAGGTGTGCAGACGAGGGCAAACAAGGTGATCAAGGGTCTGGAAACCAAGCCTGATGAGGAACAGTTGAAGGAGTTGGGTATGTTTAGCCTGAAAAAGAGGAGACTGAGAAGAGATATGAGCGCCAGCTTCCAATATCTTAAGGACTGTCACATGGAAGATGGAGCAAGCTTGTTTTCTCCTGCTCAAGCCAACGGCTTCAAATTACGAGAAAGGAGATTCGGGCTAAACCTCAGGAAGAAGGTCAAGAAGACAGGAAGAGCTTTTTGACAGTGGAACGGTCTCCCTTGGGAGGTGGTGGACTCTCCTTCCTTGGAGGATTTTAAGCAGAGGTTGGGTGGCCATCTGCCATGGATGCACTGGTTGAGATTTCTGCATTGCAGGGGGTTGGAATAGATGACCCAGGGGGTCTCTTGCGCCTCTACAACTCTATGATTCTATGCATGGAAGGCGGATGCTGTCGTCCTTCCCCAAGGAGGAGCTTGACCACAGCAATAAACAACCCATTTGGAATGAATGCAGAAAAGTCTGCCCAATGTATGGACCACTTACCAAGTCACCAAGGTGATTCATGCCCAGCTCATAGGTGTGCATCCCCTGGGAAGCCTCTAAGTTGTGCTCTTTAATCATCTGTAGATTCTTCTCCCACACCTCCCTCTGGAAAAGTTCTTCCTCCTGCAAGGAACCCGATAAAGAGTTTGGACTCACTCGCTGGATCATCACCTCATCGTGGCGAGTGGGCTTGCCAAAATCCAATATCGCCTGAGCTCTGCGAGCGCAGCTTTCTCCCGATTGAAGCGCAGAGCGTTTGAGGACCCAGGACATTCGCCTCCTCTCCATGAATTTGCCTAAATCCTACTGCCTCCTGTGGCCGTGAGTTCCATAGTTTGACTATGCACTTTGTGAAGAAGGAGTTTCGTTCACCTGCCCTGAATCTTCCAACATTTAGCCTCCTCTGCTTACAATCCTTCCTAATACAGTGGTATCCCGGGTTAAGAACTTAATTTGTTCTGGAGGTCCATTCTTAACCTGAAACTGTTCTTAACCTGAAGCACCATTTTAGCTAATGGGGCCTCCCACTGCCGCCGCCACGCAATTTCTGTTCTCATCCTGAAGCAAAGTTCTTAACTCGAGGTACTATTTCTGGG